AAAATAAATGAACTTAAATAAAGTATAGAATAAAGTAAAATAAAATAAAATAAAATAAAAAATTGAATAAAATAAAATAAAATANAAAGTAAAATAAAACAATAACTATATATTTAAAATTTAAATAATAAAAAAATTATATTAAATGAAAAAAAATATATAAATTTTAATTGAATTAAATGAAAAATAATAAAATTAAATTAAACTAAATTAAATACAATAAAAATAAAATAAGTTCATTTAAAATATAATGTAATAAAACAGAATAAAATTAAATCAAATGTAAGGCTTAAAATAAATAAAAATAAAATAAACAAATATGAAAACTTTCTTAGCTCTCTTCAGAAGGTGATACTAAAATTTGTATCACAAATTTCAAGTTCAAGCTCAAGTAAACGAACAGGAATCATATATTTATATTTGAGCTTCAGCAGCTTTGTAAATGTAGCAAAATTAAAAATCCATATACACGCATGTATGAAAATATAAAGATGTGTGTAATTCCTTGCAGCTTTTTTATATTTGTTTTATTTAAAATTTTTTTTTTTTACTTTTTTTGTACTCCTTACCCATTTCAACCAGAGAAGTCAAACATTTCAAAAACCTGTTTTGATTAATACGCCTTAATTTTGTCTACAGTGAAATTTCTGAGACGCACTTAATTTTTTTTTATTATATTTAAGCAAAAACGTGCCGTCCGTGTGCAAGTTTCTGCGGCTTAAAGGCTGTCCACACACTTACATACATATCTACTTATGTGTTAATAGAAAAAATAATTGATTATTTATACAATCGAACAATATGAAGAAATATTTGATAGAGTCTGATTCTTTTTGTATTTATCTCTATTTAATATACAAATTTATGTTAATTTATTAAATAAATTTTTGTATACATGAAGAAATACATTCCCAGCAATGAATACGTTTTTTAAACATTTATTTTAAGCTTTTCATAAGCAAATTAACACCTCTATTGCGAATGACGGCAGGCAGAAGATAAGCGATTATTGGTAATTATCGATTATTGGTGGTCGATTGTTCGTTCAATTAGCGGCCATATGCAATTATCAATATCTCGAAATTCTAATGCTATTTTTAGCAGTTAAAAATTTTAGATATTTCTAATATAATATTTCGGTTTCGAGTAAATTTATCGTTAAAAAAGAAGAAACAAAAAAAAAATGATCACAAATTATTCGCACGTGCCAGTAACTCTTTGTTTATACTTACCCTGTCCATAAAACTTTTATTTATGCAAAAAATATGTATCTAATCTTAAACGTAATTAGACAACCTCGTAAATCTGTCATATAGTTTACTAAATGTGCAGACTACAGTTTGTTTGATCTCTGCGCTGTGTTGGTGGGAGTGAATAGCAAAGTCAATAAACTCGTAAAAGCTTTCATTATATCTAGACGATATGAATATGCATGTATGTATTTATGAATAGATCTGTCGCTCCGATTACTTACAGTGTTGCATGAAAAATTTGCGTTCTGCGTATTAATAAATTACATAATAAATAGTAGTAATTAGTGTGACTAAAGCGATTTTCTTCAGGTTCTCTGTACTAAGCGAAGTGCGTTCTAGTTTATTAAGCAACAAAAAAAAAAATAAAAAAAAAAAATAAGAATTGTTTGCGATAGCATTTTAGTTTTTAATTACCAGTCAATATCTCATATTACAACTATGTGCTTATTTATTTATTTTTATTAAAATGCCTCAAAGCCTCCAGATTGTTGAATCATTTTGTGTCATAACAGTGGGAGTTTACAATTTTGACGTCACGTCAATTAAAGCGCTGTGGGAGTCATGGCGAGATGATTTTTAATATACACACATACATGTATACATATATATATGTATGTCAACTCGTATTGATTTTATTATTTTTATTTAAAATTCCTAGGAATTGACAATAATAAAAGTAAACATAAAATCGACATACTCAGAACAAACACATAAATATAATCTGTAAAACGACTGTAGGGATCTTTCAGCATGTGTCTCACAAATTAACAAATTTGATGAATTGTTCCTCTTTATACGCATGAGATTCTCCAGTTTTTGAGGTACAAAGCTTTTCTATTATTTCTCTAAAATAAAATAATATAAAATGAAATAAAACTATTGTAATAAAAAACTAAAATAAAAAATAGAATAAAATAAAAAATAAAATAAAATAAAAAAGTAAAATAAAATAAAAAAATGAAATAAAAAATAAAATAAAATAAAATAAAATCAAATAAAAAAAAAAAATTAAAATAAAATAAAATAAAATCAAATAAAACATATAAAATAAAAATAAATAATAATAATATAATAAATTAAGTGAAATATAATTTGGAAATTAAATTAACTTTCTTCAGAAGGTGATACTAAAAATATGCATCACGAGCACGGGCGCTCTTCATCTGATGAGTTATGCGGCTGTTGTTCAGTAATCAACGGAGTTAGGCCAGTAGGCCCTTTGTGAGATCACAGTATGGCCCCAATCTTCTTCACCATCTCAAATGTTTCAACCATTCCATGGCTCATAAAAGCAGCGAGATTAGAAGTTTCTTACGACGAACTTATGTCGCGCAGCTGTCACAGCTAGGCAGTGCCCTTGTGGCTGTGAGGAAAATTATTAGAGGCCATCCTTTTCACGTGAAGCCCTGTCGATATGCTAATAGCGCAGCAGTCTCGGAGGATAAGTAACAAGTGTTGACTTTGAGTTGCGCTGCGTTGGATTTGAAGGCTCCAATCATTATTGCTATGGATGTTGTTTTACAGGTAGACAAATATATCTGTACACTCTTCAGCTCCGCAGCTCATATTTTCTCCTCCACCGGAAGATTTATGAAGTCGCACCACAAGTATTCACCTTGTCTGTAGTCTCGTTTCCCAATTCTGACTTCGCTGTTGGTATTGTTCAGCGTCCTTTTCGTGTTGTCTAAACGAAGAAGAAACGAAGAAGAAGTGTATGACGATTCTCTTTTCATAGTGTACATCTGCTCAATGGTAAATTTATCAGATCTAAAGCCACAATGATTAGTTTCAATCAGTTTGTTTGGTTTAATCTGTCCCACAATATTTATTCACTCCCACAGAAATTGGCACAGATCGTGGAGTTATAGATTGGATAGTGCATTCTAAGGTTCCAATCGTCGGGCATGCTTTCGTCCGATCTTATTCTGCGAAGAAGCTGCTGCTTGCAACTTGTCAGTTCTCACCGAAATGTTTGAATAGCTCTGTCGTTAAGCCATCGGCTTTAGCTGTTTTGTTGTTTTTTAATATTATAATTATAATTAATACAAGTATAAAACAAAATAAAATTCTTTGCACTTTCGACTTTATTGCATTGACTTTTTAATGATTACACAAATACTTATCAAATCGTTCACAAAACGTCTATATAATATATGATATATATATTATAAATAATTTAGAGTGTAATATGATTTATGAAAAAAAAAAATTATTATGTAAGAAATTTCATTATTCTTTCATTGGCGTTTGTTTCACTCATTCCCGAACGAGAAACATATAAACATTTAATCAGCGAGTAATGATAACCTCAGCACCAACTTTTGATGACTTTCGAAGCTGCATTTCATTAAATCTAATAATCGATTTTGGATTTGGATTTGAGTGGAAAAGATTTTTGTTCAATAAAAAAAAAACTTTGATCGCATGTGCGTGTGTTAATTTGTATGTTGTACCTGCATTTTTCGCCGGCTTTTACCATAATTGTGTGAATATTTTCTTGTGATATTGCTAGGTGGTCAGCCAAACCAAGATTTTTTATGCTAATAAAACAATTTCAAGTACAATTGAGTCTGTATTTAGACTAGAAAAGATAACCATTATAGCAAAATGGCATACGACAGGGTGGAGTGTTATCTCTTCTTCTTAAAATTCAAGCGATTTTCGGTTTGCTAATGAAGTTGAAAGTGTCTGGTAGTCATACCTAATGTCTGCTCAACCTAGAGGGCATTTCGGTCATAGTAAGCGGTAAGTGTCTGACAACACTTTGCTCTCTGTATCGCTTCAGCGGTTACAAGCTGAAATTCAACAGTTTCCGCGACACTTGGGTTCCCGCAATGTTCCCCCAAACCCGATCTGGTAATGAGAAATGGACAGAGAATCGTCGTTAAGGGTGTGGCGCGCAGATGCATGTAAAGAAGCCTTGAGCAAATCCATATACATGTAAAAGGATACTATGCTACACACTTGTAATCTGCATTTCATTGGATCTTCGTTGCGCTTGTTAAGCCAAATATTCTCTTCCAAGACGTCAAACATCTCGCGCTTTTCTGCGTATATAATCGACTTTACGTAACCAAAGTTGATTCAAATCAACATCCTTCAATTCAGGCACAAAAAAGTCGTTAATCTCGAATCGATAGCGTTCATCTTTGATTGTTCCATTATGGCTGGCTTCGTTTTTGTAAAAATATAGACCATAACGCATACCAATCAATGACTTGTTGAGGATGTAACGGTCTCTAAACAATGGCTTGTGGATTCAAGTCAATCCAAAATCGTTTATTATCGTAGCCATTCAACCAAAAGTGAGTTTCAGCGCGGAACAAAATTTTGCTATGAATATTGGGATGATTCAGCGAAAGAGCGACGCGTTGTTCCGGCGTAAATATTTATTGCTATAAAAAAGCTTACTTTGTTGAGTTAATAGTCAGTACATAATATTGATTTTTTCAAATCTCGATATACTCCCCGGGCCTTTCTATAGCTTCGCTCATTCCGCCTGAAGGTAGGCTACAAAATATAAAATATGGCGCGTCGTCGCCATATTTTTTTTTTTATAATAAAGGGATGTAAAAACTTATCGATGTAGTTGATTCCTCTTCGTGATAACTTTTTTTAAGTATTATAAATATTAAGAAATATTAAAATATTTATTTCTAAACAAATCAATTGAAGGATATATTTTCAGCTAATTATCAATTTTTTTTTTATTATAAAAAAATAAAAAAGATTTTTCTTCTTTTTCAGACAATTTCGGATACCAGCTAGTTTTAGCGCCAAAACCGATATTATCTTTAATAACCAACACTGTAAGTAAATAAGAAAAATAAATATTTAACTGATTTTCTAACTTTTATCATGGCATAAATAAAATAATTAATTTGTACAACTATTTTTAATAACTATTTTGAATTTTAATTATGATTTTTTATAGAGCCAAAAACGCCAAAATGTTCATACCAGTTGCGCAATCAGCCTTCAGGGCTTTAAAACAATCTTCACCGCGTGTGCGTATATTTCTCATCAGCAAAAATGCCTACTCTAGTCAGGTAAACGAGTACAAAATTGAATTGAAAACACCAAAATATTTCAATGTTTTTTTTTCCCCCACCTCATCACCAACAGGTCGAATACAAACCCATACGCTCGGTGCTGGTCGCCAATCGCGGTGAGATCGCAATTCGTGTCTTCCGTGCTTGTACAGAGTTGGGCATCAAATCGGTGGCCATCTATTCGGAACAAGACAAAATGCATATGCATCGGCAAAAGGCCGATGAATCGTATATTGTCGGTAAGGGTCTGCCACCGGTCGAAGCTTACCTCAACATTCCAGAGATTATACGTGTGTGCAAAGAGAATGATGTAGATGCTGTGCATCCTGGTTATGGTTTCCTTTCGGAACGTAGTGACTTTGCACAGGCCGTCATAGATGCGGGCATACGTTTTATTGGTCCCACACCGAAGGTGGTGCAGCAGATGGGTGATAAGGTGGCTGCACGTGTTGCCGCCATCGAAGCCGGTGTACCAATTGTACCCGGCACAGATGGACCAGTGACGACAAAAGAAGAGGCTATGGAATTTTGTAAGAAACATGGCTTGCCAGTGATCTTTAAGGCCGCATATGGTGGTGGTGGCCGTGGTATGCGTGTTGTACGTAAAATGGATGAAGTCGAAGAGATGTTTCAGCGCGCCAGTTCAGAGGCGAAGGCTGCTTTCGGTAATGGTGCTATGTTCATTGAGAAATTCATCGAACGTCCACGTCACATTGAGGTGCAATTGCTCGGTGACAAGGCGGGCAATGTTGTGCATTTGTTTGAGCGTGATTGTTCGGTGCAGCGTCGTCATCAAAAGGTTGTGGAAATAGCGCCAGCGCCACGTCTACCGCAGGAGACACGCGACAAGATGACAGAGGCGGCTGTGCGTTTGGCCAGACATGTGGGCTACGAAAATGCCGGTACGGTGGAGTTCCTCTGCGATGAGTCGGGCAATTTTTACTTCATCGAAGTGAATGCGAGGTGTGTAAACATTAAGTTTTTAAGTTTTTAATTTATTTCAATTATCTTTTATAAATTATTTTTAAATTTAATAAACTCTTTTCCACATATAGATTACAAGTGGAGCACACAGTAACCGAAGAGATCACCGGCATTGATTTAGTACAATCACAAATACGCGTTGCCGAAGGCATGACTCTACCCGAACTTGGTTATACACAGGAGAATATTCAACCACGCGGTTACGCCATTCAATGTCGTGTCACCACCGAAGATCCAGCAAACGACTTCCAACCCAGCACCGGTCGTCTGGAGGTATTCCGTTCTGGTGAGGGTATGGGTATACGTGTCGACAGCGCCTCAGGCTTTGCTGGCGCCATCATATCGCCATACTATGATTCACTGCTCGTCAAAATTATTTCCCATGCAAGTGACTTGCAGAGCTCGGCAGCTAAAATGAATCGTGCTCTACGTGAGTTCCGTATACGTGGTGTGAAGACGAATATACCCTTCTTGTTGAATGTTTTGGAAAATCAAAAATTCTTGCATGGCGTCTTGGATACCTACTTCATCGATGAGCACCCACAGCTCTTTAAATTCCGTATTTCGCAAAATCGTGCACAGAAATTGTTGAACTACATTGGTGAAGTGTTGGTAAATGGTCCACAAACACCATTAGCCACTGGCTTGAAGCCAGCTGATATCACGCCACATGTACCGGAAGTGCCATTAGGTGAGTGAATTTGTGTAAAAGTTTTCACAACGATATTTTTTCGTAAGTAATGAGTTATTGTTTTTATAAGTAGAAAAGCTTGCTGAAAATAAAAAAAAATTATAACAATTTTTAAATATGCAAAAGCAAGCGGCAAAAACGAACAATACCTAAATCCCTCACATATCCATATATCCTGCCCCGCTGTACTGTGTTTTTCATTATTAAAAATTTATTTATTAATAATAATTATTTTAATATTTTTTTAATGCTCTTTAAAATTCTATATTTATAACTCAAATATTTGTAATCTTAAAATTGTGAAATCAAATTATCAAAATTAATTAATTGTAAAAAAGTTAATTTCTGAATTTCTAAATTTGCGTCGTTCTATGCTTAACTAATTTACAGTTTAATTTTGATTTTTTATTAAGAAAATAATATTTATTTAACTCACCATATATGTATGTATACCATAACCTCCAATTACATGGGTCTGGAAAATTCTATCCTAACCTCATCCACATAAAATAACCTAATTTCTCTTTCGCTCCTTTGTTTCCGTGCCATACATGTATGTGTATACTCAATTTTCTATTTTTTCTGTTTAGTCTTAAAAAATCTGTAATATTTCTTTAATTCCTTTATGTTTTCAAACGTATTTGCATAAATACATTAGTTGATCTTAAACCTTTTACCTTCTACGTTCGATTTCTATTCCTTTACATCCTACCCTTTCTTCCCGTTTTGCACACTTCCGCATTTTTCCCTTATTTATCCTTATTTTCGCTCTGTTGTTATTTTAAATTTAAAAAAGATTTTTTTTCCTTCAGATCGTTCACCTCTCATCCAATTAGGTTATACGTTTTTCTATATATATACCTTTTTTCCTTTGTATATTTTTTTTTTATCATTTTTTCTTAAATTTTTAAGAGATATTTTCTTTTTTATTCCTTTTTTACTTTATTCTTCCTTCTTGTATCTTTTTTCCTTCCGGCTGCGTTACCTATTCTATTCCTTGCTCATTTCCGCCCTTTCGTTCATTTTTCTTTAATGTTTATTTTTTTCCTCATTTTGTTTGCTTCCCTCTCATTTGTTTTCCTTTCTTAAACTTCCTCTTTCCACTCAATATTTTTTAAGTTGTGTTAATCTTCACGTATTCTTAACTGTTACAGTTGTTATTTCGATATTTTTTGTTGCTTCTTTTGCTTCGTATTTAACTCATTAAGTTTTGTTTACGTATTTTTGGTTTTGTTTTTCCATTTAGCTTTTACAAATTTACCAATATTATTCATTTTCCACGTTTGCCTTAACTATCCCAAATCCTTTTGCTCACTCTTAATTTCGCCGCTTGACTTCCTTGTCAGCTAATCCTACGTCTAATTTCCAGTTTCCTTTCCCTCACTAAAAAAAACACACTTTATAGTTGCAGTGTGATTTTTCCAAAAAAAAAAGAAATTATATAAAAATTTACTTACTACTACATAAATAAATATAAATTAAACTATGTACATATGTACGCGTTCTTTTGCTTACTTCTCTTTTTAATTTCATTAATGTTTCTTATCATTTTACGATTTTTATTTCTTTGTTTCATCGTGTGATTAATATATAAAAATCAATTTAAAAAACAACAAAAACAATTTATATGCAAACATTAAAAATGAATAAAAAAAAAAACATATAAAATTAAATTAATCACAAAATCGCAAACAACACCATTTATGTAACATCACCGAAAACAAAAACAAAATTCACATGATCATGCAAAACATTCGATCTTTGATATTATGATCACGATCACTTGAAGACCTGTCACCCGAGGCAATTAGCCGTGAAGAGCGCGGAGAAGCCAAAGGTATGTTTTGAATAAGCCGCTACTATGTACTACTACTACTACTACCATCATCTCCTCCAGATTTCATTTTTACCCATACCAATTTGTATTGTAAATAAATATATGGTTTAGTTACACACATACTATTTAATATATGAAATAATTAAGAAAAATAAAAATTTTAGGGCATATTCAAGTAAATTCATCTACATACTTAAATATCGTTAAAATTAAACTTTTTCTTCAAAACAAAGCACAAAATTGGCACAATGGAAACAAATTATCATAGGTTGAATTTATTTGGTATTCAAATGAGGCCCACATGCTTGTAAAACGTCAATAAGTTCACTGATATTTAAAGGTGTATAGTTTGTATTGCTTTTCTTTTACAGAGGTTTTTGGTATACATTAGTGGTTTTTTTCAGTTGCAATTTTCTTTTTTTTTTCATAAATGGTCTTTTAGTTTTTCACACCCTGTGCCACTTGCTGTACTCTATTATTTTAGCCATCGCAAACAAGAGTGGCCGCCTGCGACGCTTTCAACTACATATTTCCACAAATATTTACTTATTAATTTGCAATTACTCTTTATAGTTGTAATTATTATATATTTTATATCTTACCTTACTTATATAATTGTATAACGTACCCGTAGTGTTACAAAGCGCCAATTATAAATATATACCCGTAGTTTATGCGCTTAAAGCTGCATGTTAAGCAATTTTATACGTAACCCCAATTTATACGACACCTGCAATAATCGAAAAAATTGTCTATCGATTGATAAACACCCTAACGGGTCGATCGATAAGTGTTTGTTTACAAATGGCGCACATAGCGGAAGTAAAGATTATTGACGTTCGCACGCTTAATTTTCAAACACAAGAACATTTGCTGCATTATTTGAATGAATGCAGAATTTATGCCTACATTTCAAACACTGTTACTTATTAATTGACTCTCGTAAAATGAATTCCTTATAAAATATACAAAACAACGTTAAGATATATGGCACAAGATTGTATAAATTGTCGTATATTTTGGTGGTGTGTAAATGCGCAATTAGCTTACAGATTATTTTTTAATAATTTTAAATTAATTAATTGACAACAACAATTCTTTAAAACTTACCATACAGTCACCGAACCACCAAAAGGACTCCGCCATATACTTAAATCCCAAGGACCCGAGGCGTTCGCAAAGGAAGTACGTAGCCGTAAGAACCTCATGTTGATGGATACTTCTTTCCGTGATGCTCATCAATCGTTGCTAGCGACACGTGTGCGCTCACATGATCTATTGAAGATCTCACCATATGTTGCACACAAATTCAATAATCTCTATTCGTTGGAAAACTGGGGTGGCGCCACATTCGATGTTGCTTTACGTTTTCTACACGAATGTCCGTGGGAACGCTTGGAGGAAATGCGTAAACGTATACCGAATATTCCATTCCAGATGTTGTTGCGTGGTGCTAATGCTGTCGGTTATACCAGTTATCCCGATAATGTTGTGCACAAGTTCTGTGAATTGGCGGTGAGTGGTTTTAATTGGAATATGTACATATGTACATATATATTTATATTAAATTTTTGTTTTAGTGCTCATTAAAAAATGTTTTCTTTTTTTTTTTTGAAGCACCTCAAAGCTTCTTTTTAATCGAAAATTTGATGTGTTGTGTTAGATACATAAATATAACAACATATGTACTATGTATTTAATTAGGATAAAAATAAAATTTTCAACCATCAAGCAGTTTTTAGTTCCGGAGAAAGTTATTTTGATTTTTTTTTTTTTGGTAGAACTCGGTAATTAAAAGCAAAGAAAATTGCAGTTAATTTGATTTGTAGTTAACCACGCTTGTATTATGTACCCGGAGTATAGTAGTTCTTCACAGCTAACGGTTATAGGTAAATAAACAAGTCAGATATAAATATACATACATACATATATATCGTAAATCAAATTACATGGAAAGCCGAGACGAATCGATATTTGTCCATGTACACGGTAACACATATAACGGTAATTTAATGGTGGAACAAAATTTCGGCTGGGTATCATACCTAATAGGATTCACTAGATAAAAAAATTGTTAAATTTAACGATCTGAGTCCTGGTTCGGTTTCTCCCGAACTTAGTCTTCTATACTAGCGCTGAATCCGAATCGTCAAAATCCCTTTTCTTCTCTTCAAAATAGAGGTTAGGTAAGTTTACAAGTACGGAATACTATAAACGCTTTCATTCTGAAAACTCTCCGAGTCGAATTTGGCTGAAATTCTATTTAATAAAATGCAATTTCTTTCGCAGGTCCAAACTGGCATGGATATTTTCCGTGTTTTCGATTCGTTGAATTATTTGCCCAACTTGATTTTGGGCATGGAAGCTGCCGGTAAGGCTGGCGGTGTCGTCGAGGCGGCTATTTCTTATACCGGCGATGTAAGTGATCCCGCACGTACTAAATATGATCTCAAGTACTACACAAACTTGGCCGATGAATTGGTGAAGGCTGGCACACATGTGCTCTGTATCAAGGATATGGCGGGCTTGTTGAAGCCACAAGCGGCTAAGTAAGTATTAAAGTTAAATAATTTTTGCTGCATCAATCTTCCATCAATAACAACTAACTTTCCTTATCTACCAATAGACTACTTATCACCGCCATACGTGATAAGCACCCTGATGTGCCAATTCATATCCATACACACGATACTTCGGGCGCTGGTGTTGCTTCCATGCTCGCCTGTGCCGAAGCTGGTGCCGATGTCGTGGACACAGCGGTCGACTCTATGTCTGGCATGACATCACAGCCTAGCATGGGCGCAGTGGTGGCATCTCTACAGGGCACACCACTCGACACGGAATTCGATTTGCGCGATGTCTCTGAATATTCCGCCTATTGGGAGCAGACACGTACACTGTATGCACCATTCGAATGTACCACCACCATGAAGTCGGGCAATGCTGATGTGTACCTCAATGAAATACCCGGTGGTCAATATACTAATTTGCAATTCCAAGCATTCTCATTGGGTTTGGGTGACTTCTTTGAGGATGTTAAGAAGGCATACCGTGAAGCGAATTTACTGTTGGGTGATATCATAAAGGTGACGCCATCCTCAAAGGTTGTTGGTGATTTAGCGCAATTTATGGTACAAAACAAGCTGAATGCCGATCAAGTGCTTGAGAGAGCTGAAGAATTGTCATTCCCCAAGTCGGTTGTGGAATTCTTGCAGGGTTCAATTGGTATACCACATGGTGGTTTCCCAGAACCACTACGTTCGCGTGTACTCAAGGATATGCCACGTGTTGAGGGGCGTCCGGGCGCTAACTTGGCACCGTTGGACTTTGATAAACTCACAAAGGATCTAAAAGAATCTCATCCACACATTAGCGAACGTGATGTTATGTCAGCTGCACTTTATCCAGCTGTAACCGAAGACTTTTTGTACTGCCGCGAGAATTATGGACCAGTCGATAAGCTTGATACACGTATTTTCCTTACCGGCCCGAAGGTAGGCGAAGAATTCGAAGTTGCTATTGAACGTGGTAAGACATTGAGCTTGAAGACTCTGGCTATGGCTGAAGATTTGACGCCAAACGGTGAACGTGAGGTGTTCTTCGAAATGAATGGTCAGCTACGTTCGGTGTTGATTCGTGACAAGGAAGCTGTGAAGGTGAGTTAAATAATAAGTGAAGGGAAGCGTCCAAGGAAGAGTTTGATAAATGGACAGAGTAAATTTCTGGTAGAAGCAATATAACTAAGTGTAAGAGTTCTACCATTATTATTCTCAACGGTTTCCCATCCAACGCCCGTTTGCCAGTGTTGTTGTTGTAATCACAAAAATATTCCCAAAGTACTTTTTGGAGAATGTTGCGGGAATGACAGTCCTTGGATGGTTAAAAATCTAGGTCATTCCGGTATAAAGACCAGATTGTGGCGGGAACTATATGAATTTAGTCGCCTCTTGCGACAGGCATGCCTTACCGCGGGTAAATTCTTGAGCACCTAACCCGCAGGGGGTTGTGGCAGTAATAATAGGCTCTCACGGTACAGCTGGAGCTCTTCGTCTGCTATAAGGGTTGAATGATGTCCTATACCGCCAGTTTTGGGAATAGAGTCGATGAAGGTTATCTCTGTGAGTGTCTGTGAATGGGGTTTCGGTTACGTATTATCAAATGGAGTCTGTGTGATCTAGGATCTAGTACTTTCATCCTGATGCATCTGAAGGGTGATTCTGATTCAAGGAAGTATTTGCAAAGGGGCCCTTCATATAGCCGGATGCATTGATGACTCGCTATGTACAACCCATTACGGTCCTCAAACCAGTGTCTTGCTGGTTACCTTGATGCGGATCGGTGCGGCGTATTGTTGTTGTTGTTGTTGCTGTTGTAACAACCGCAAAAATTTCCCTGGAATTGGTTTTCAGGGAATATTGCGGAAGTAAAAGCCATTGGACGGGTAAAAATCCGGCTCGTTCAGGTATAAAGAGCCAACTGTAACGAGCACTATTGGATTTGGGGAGGTACAGTGTCTATCGTAGTGCGTATTAGGTATGTAGCATTGCCAGTTTCGGCTCTAAGAACTTTTCTTCACACTATGACGGACTCGAGTGGTATTGCATCAATATAGGAGATCTACAACTACGGCTTCGAGCAGTGAAGAGCTTGATTGCATTGCAACTGGAAAGTTAGACTCAAAATTTTCACTTGAACATCACATTTCCTCTTTACGATATACTTACATATTTATGTTGTCGAGGTTTTTAATAACGAAATTTCGCTTTCACAGGAACTCCACATCCATCCAAAAGCCAACAAGTCCAACAAAAATGAGGTCGGCGCACCCATGCCCGGTACAGTGATCGATATACGTGTGAAGGAGGGTGACACAGTGGAAAAGGGTCAACCGTTGGTGGTGCTATCGGCCATGAAAATGGAAATGATTGTACAAGCGCCCAAAGCGGGTGTGGTGAAGAAATTGGAGATAATCAATGGCATGAAATTGGAAGGCGATGACCTGCTCATGCAGATTGAGTAAAAGAAGGAAGTCTGTTGCAGCAAACCAAAAACAAAAACTAAAAAGCTAACTCCATATATAAATACATGCGCTCATAGCTAACGATTTAGCCGTTGAGCACGAAAACGTGGCAGCAAAAAAGCTTTGGAAAATTTTGAAAAAATGACAACAATACTGTTTTGGCGTCCAGTTGGTCACATATGAAGTGAAATATTTAAAAAAGAAATAGCTTATATTATTAATGTGCGTGTATGAAAATTGTTTATATAAAAAAAAAACCAAATTTAATAATTAGTGTTATCAAAAATAGTTTTGTTTGTGGTAAAAGAAAGAAAGGAAATCGTTATACATATGTATGTGCATATGTTACATGCGACACTCTTAGAGTTGGCTCAATGTAGCAGCAGCATATGTATGTGCTTACTTGTACAAATTAACACCGACATGCATACATATGTATATTTATATTAACTAACCATATATATTTATGAATATTTACTATGTACATTCATATGTAAGAATTTACTTAAAATGCGACCAAAAAGGAAATTTCTCAGAGAATCAACTTGGCTGTTATTTGCATGAAAAAAATGACATTGTCAATTCTAAAAATAAAAACGTAAAAAATGCATACTTACTTAGTGAAAAAAAAAAACAAAACAAAAAAAAAAAAAAACAAACAAACAAACAAACCAACAAACCTAAATATGTATGTATGCAGGACACACAAAACATCTCCATTTTAGATTTTGAACTTTTGTACCTTCATAGAGAATTTATGTGTCTACATACATATGTACAATATTTTATAGCGAATAATACATACATACATACATACATATTTATTTAATATTGTTATTGCTATTTGTGTAGCCGAAGTGTACAATTTGTAATGCAACATATGATTTATTCCTTTATTTTTATAATAGCAGCGATTTTTTACGCACAAAAGTTCTGTTCTACATACTTACTTACATACGATACATACATTATCACATCTATGAAGCCACTGTGCATGTGAAAAAAATAAAATAAAATAAAATAAATAAATAAAACCCCAATTGTAATTTAAGTGTTATAATGGTTTCCTTACTTTATATATCATATATAGAACATACATATGTATGTACATATATGTATGTATGTGCGTGCATAGTATGAGTTAAGTTTAGTTTTATTGTAGTGAGCGAAATATTTTTTTATACAAATTCCTCCCCTGTTTAATTGTTTTTGTTTTATTTTCATTTTTTTCTCAAACCATATTTTAATTAAGTTTCATTAAAATTAAAATTCAAAAATGTTCCAATTTATGATAAACAATTATTTTATTTGAATAAAATCGTTACTATAGTAATGCATAATATTGTAAATGTTTTCAAATTAAATTAAAGAAATGTTAAATAAAGAAAATAAATTTGCTTAATTTTTTATTTAAATAAATTTAAACAATTCGTAAACAGATTTAGCTATTTTCTGTATATAGCATTTCAAGTTAATATACAGGGTGTTTTTTTGACTATTTTTTTTTCAATGAGGCAATACTTTTTTTTACTTATTTTTGATAGCTGTTACTTAATTTATACGAAATTCAATATTCGATCGGCAAAATGGCCAAGTAGAGTTGATACTTCGAGCAAGCATAGATCGGTTAGGCACCACGTCACTCTATGGAATAATGCGCATTCCTCGGGGACGGCGTATAGTGCGCACAAAAGACGCCATTGCACTGCAGAGTATCGGAAGAAGACCCGTAGGAGTCCATTCGCTATCGCGCGCAACAATTTGCGCAGTGCGCTTCATTATACGGATGATTTCGCGGAAGAGTTTTCATTTTTGAACTTACAAAATCAAACTCGGGCAAGAACTAAAGCCGAACGATCAGCAAGCGCATCTCGCGTTCGATGAATCGGCACAAAACGAGTTAGTCACCGGTCCCAATTTTTACAAGAAACATTTGTTCAGCGATAAAGCTCTCTTTTGGGTATGTTGATAAAAAAATTGTTGCATTTGAAGTGATTTTAATTCACAAGCCATTGTTGAGACGACGCTGTATCCTTGAAAAGTCAATGTTTCGTGTGCTCTATGGACAGTAGAAATCATTGGTCCATATTTTTTCAAAAAATGTAAGAGGCAATAACGCTTTAATCACTGGAGAGCGCTATAAAGCCATAATTAATGCTTTTTCGCCTCCTAATTGGAGAATGTTGGTGGGAACGAACTTGGGTTTCAACAAGACGGTGCTACAGTCCATACAACCAACGAAACAAACAATTGATTAACAGAAAACTTTAATAAGCCTATCTCGAGTAGTGGGCCTCCAAAATTGTGCGATTTTACAATTAACACTTTATCTCGACTAACAGACGCTCTTTTTATGGTTATGTGAAGTCGCTTGTCTATCTAGTTGAGCCCGAGACGATTCAAGCCTTCAAAAAGATTATTCGGCGCGTTATTGTCGACATAAGGTCTCGATGGTAAGAAAAGCGGTCAAAATTGGACCTCTGGGCTGGAATTTATTTGAGCCGGCCGTGGCTCGGTTTTAAAACATAAACATCATTGTGAACCGTGATCTTTATATTAAATCTAATTTTTTGACCATAACATTATATTATAATGCGTTATATTTTTTCTCGAGAACCTCAAACAAAAACACCCTTTATTATGACATTACTTTTATTAAGGGAAACAAAAAATTATACATTATATTATATTAAATATATCATTAAATGCCATTTACGATAAACTCGAGAAACATCAACTCCTTTGTCAACTCATTGACACGCCTGTGATGCCGCTGCAAGTATGGTGTGAGCACTTCTACGACATTACGCATACCAGGCACACCATGCTCAGCAGGCGCTGCAATACAATCGCTTAGCAAATAATGTAGAACAAGATTGGCGATTTTGCAATGCCGCGAATTGGTCGTCCATGCTTTGGTATGCTCCATGAGTGTCACACGCTGGTCGCTGTTCAGCGCTCTAACCAATTCGCGCACTGGCTCAGTGTCACGCTGACACACATAGTCACTTATAATATTGTACGTTGTCTTTGGTTTACCCAGGCGGAGTGCCAGCATAAATGCCTTTTTCAAATTCTGTCGCTGATGTAGTAGTGATTGCAGCGTTTGCTCCTGTTGCGCCAATTCGGCACGTTTTTCAATTTCTTCATTGCGACAAATGGTGGTTACATCTTGCCACTGTATCAGCTTAGAGTCGGCGCCGCCACTGTAGAAACATTTAGCGCTGCGCGTGGATATTGCCAGTGACCATATGCGATCTGTATGAGCGTCCAGCGTTTGCACACATTCATTTGACTTGATGCTCCACAATTTAAGTAGACCATCGGATGCTGCAGACACTATGTATTTGCCGTAATCAATGAATTCGGCACGTAAGACGGTGCACTCTTGTTCGAAGCGTTTGATACATGTTAGCGTTGTTAGCGACCAGAGACGTAGTGTGCAATCACTGGAAGTTGTCAGTACAACTTGATCGACCGGCGAGAAACGTACACACCAAACGCCACGCGCATGTCCACGTAAAGTGCCAACCAAGCTGTTACTATCTGCGCTCCATAATTTCGCAGTTTTATCTTGAGACGCTGTGGCTACTAATTTGTTGTTGGGTGAAAAGGCAACACTATTTACTTCTTTGTCGTGCGAAAGTGCCGAATATTTTAGGTTGAATGTATGTGGTGTATCTTTGTTTTTCTTCAGATTCCAAACTTTCAAGCTTCCATCTTGTGAAACGGATGCGAAAAATGCTGCTGTGTTACAACCGAATGATAGACAGCCAATTGTTGAAGTGTGACTGCTGTTGTTACGTGCCACGCAGCTGATTGTAAATGTACTTGGATTCACACGCCATAAGCATATGCTTAGATCTTTACCGGCAGAGAGCAACAGATTCGTGCCACCTGCTGCAGTTAGTGTCATAACCGTATCTTTATGACCGCTCGCAATTTTACAATTCATGTTTGCTTCCGTGTCATAAATTTTAATATTCTTACTATTCGATGCGACTGCTAGAAAACGATCATTCTCACCCAAAAAGCAAATATCTAGTATTTCATCATTAAAGCCAATCAATTGCTTGGTGCAATCCAAATTATTTGCGGTCACACAGTCGTTAGACGCTTTGTAAATTAGAATGTTTTGTTCCACAGTTACCACCGCCAATTGTTCAGTGTGTTTAGAATGCAGCAATTGACGTAGCTCCTGACTGGTGTCTTCGCTTAAAGTAGTCAACTTTGCTGTTTTACAATCAACAAGCTTCAAAGCTCCGGATGCACATGCTACAACTACATGAAGACCGTCTTGTTTGTTAGTATTCACATTTAAGCTAGTCACACCCTCAAGTTCCTCAAACATAGGTATAACTTTATGCTGTGTAGCATCGGCAAGACGCCAGACAATTAACACTTTATCTCGACTTACAGACGCGAGATAATCAAAGCCATTGTCACCACCTAAAAAGGTGATAGCCGTAACTTGGGAGAGATGACCACGCATTTGACGTATCAAACGTTTTTCCGCATAATTCCAGCAGTAGATTGTATTATCTGCACCTGCTGCAAATACTTCCGTGCGCTTAGCATCTGGATGGAATGCCAATACTAATGCTGGTCCATTAAATTCACGTAATGCGCATACACAGGTGCTATGTACATAGTCCCATATGCGCAATGAAGAGTCAGCGCCACTAGAGCAAATGAGCTTACCACAGGTGCTGAATTGTATTTTCACTACGGGTCCTTTATGCTGTGATTTCCACAGTTTCACCACTTTACCGGTCTCAATCGACCATAAACGCAATAATCCACTACGATGCGCAGTCACTAGTAGTGTATTATCGGGCGACAGTGCAAAACAGGGAATCTCATCCTCTAAATCTTCACCATCCTTGGTGGTAGTACTTCCGGTGCCCGTTAAGTCATTTTCAACAGTTTCTACATTAGTACCATATGCTCGCACAAGTTGACCTGTCGAAACACTTACGGCACAAACTTCGGTATTATTCAAGCAGTAAATTAAATCACCATTATCAGACCAAGCTACATCTCCGCCGGCGTAGAAATTGCTGAATTTTGATTGTACCGCAAAACTACACAGAGAAGAACTCTTTTTAAATTTTCATAATTTATTTTGTATACAATTTGCTTTTACCTTTTCTCACATAAACTAGACATAGTTGCATTTATTTGTCAATGGCTAAACAAGAAATTAATTAAAATCCTCGTGCAATTACTAAAAAAATGTTTACATTTATCGTTTTACAACGTGTTTTTGGAAGTTTTGAACATATGTTTAAATCATCAAAAAAAAAAATTAACAGCTGTTGCAGGATAACTCAGGTGAAGAATAATAATATTATTTTAAGCAAAGAACGTAAATATTCTTAATGACAAACATCGTAAATATATTCATGTAAGCAAAGAACGTATGTATGAGTTCAAATACGTTCTTTGATTGTACCAAATCCAAAAAGAAAAGAACCATACAATCTGCGCCAATTATAGTGGGATAAGTCTCTTCAAGATCAAATATAAGGCGTGAACTAATGATTTCTATAACGTTAGCAACAACAACAATAATCACATTAGTACTATTGTACTTTCATCAGATTCAATAAAGAAGCGAAGCAAATGGGTCTGGTAGTAAAGGAAGAGGAGGAGGAGGCCCACGTCTTCTCTGTTCACAACCTTAACTTTAAAGTGCTGGTAGTAGTATATGTAGAGCTTTGAAATCCAGTACAGAATCATTACTCCTGCCAAAATGTGCTACGGTGAACTAAGTAGGCGATTGAAAAGTAAGACCCTCCTCGCGGAACAAAAACGAAACTCTACAAGTCTCTCAACATTTTCATGGTGCAAAAGCGTGGAAGTTGACGATAAGTCGACTTTGGTAATCTTCACGAAAACAGTCTTGCGAAAGATTTACGGTCCTATGTATATAGGCGACAGTGGGTACCGCAGACGGTGGAACGATGATCTATACTCATACGAATTGAGAAACTGCGACTACTCCAGAAAAGATGAAAACACTTCCACTCAAAAAGTAAAAAGTGCCTTCAGCACCTTTACCCACTCAGGGTAATCAACAGACCTCCACGGTCTCACGGAGCTTCAAGCAGCATGTCTCCCTCCAACCTCTACCCCCATCCCTACCCACAACCTGCTCCTCATTCTCCTCCCGTGCGGGGGCTACCCAGCAGCTCCTAGTCCCTCGCACAGTCTGTTCGGTGTGTCAGACCATAGTACTTCGGAACATGACCTCAGTCAGATGCATTTCTTGCTCTGACTGGTGTCACTTTCGGACGTGCTCCGTGCTGTAGGAGTCTGCCCCGCATGTTTCGGCAAACCCTCCGCCAACTAACACTAATGTGCGGAACCAACTTCCGCGGGCATTACAGCAGCAACACACACCATCCATGCATCACTCCCTCACCCCCCCGTATCACGAACATTCCCCCGAGACAGACCCGACTCCTACAATTCAGCTGCAACGGACTCCAGGGAAAGATCGACAAGATAGCCGACTACATGAGCCGGGAGTACCTGTCAATTCTAGCGATCCATGAAACTAAGTTGACCACCCGATCAGATCTTGTGAGCCGCAAGGATCGCTTAGCGTTAATCCTGCACAACACCATGCATGCATTATCGACGGCGACATCGACCGCAGGGATACTACCCTAGAATGTCAGGGCATAGCTATCCGGTCAGGCGATGTCGAGCTCGAAATATTCAATATATACATTACTCCAGTTACAAGTTGCCCAGCAGGATACACCCGTGATATAGGTGCATTACTCAAGGGCGAAAAAAGTTTGGTTTTGGGCGACTGTAACGCGCATCACGATCTTTGGCATTCTAGCCTGTCAAACGACCGTAGAGGAATGGAGCTGGCAGAAGAGATAGATGATTCGGCATTCTGTACAATGAACGACAACAACGCCCCCACCAGAGTTATATGAAATTGTAATAGCTCGCCAGTTATAACAATTGCGGGCGCTGGTCTGATAAACAGTATAGTCTGGCGGCCTATACTGACGTTGGCATCGGACCACTTGCCATACAAATATATACAGAGCCTGACTGGGATTCGAACCGGGAATATTCGCAACAAGAGCCAAGCCCGCGAACAAACGAAAACACGGATACAAATCGATCTAATCTCGCACCACCTCTGCACACAATACGAGTATATGTATGTATAACTGTATCAGTAGCCTTATCATTTCAAAACAAATATAATAGAAAAATTAAAAACCTAATCTTAAACTTAAGTTTCAGACCATTATTTAGTGGATTTGCTTGTCATCACACAGATAACTTGGTTGCACATCTACTGAGAGTAATCGGACAATTCAGTCCATGGCATAGAAATCCTATAGAAATTTATAAATAATCAGTATAATTTGAGATTTCAATTACTAAAGTAGTTTTTATATTTGTTTAGCGCTGCATAAGGAAAGTTATTACATATTAATATTCTTAAAAATAAACAAATATTAAAAAGTAAAAATAATTTTCATCTAAAACAAAACAAAAATGGCATTGGTATGCGTGGAGGATTTTGAAAAGAAAGCGCACAGTGTGCTGGAAAAGAACGCTTTGGATTATTATCGCAGCGGTGCTGGTGAACAATTCACATTGCAATTGAACCGTGACGCTTTTAGAAGGTAAAGAGTGTTTTATATTGAATTTTTGTATATACATATGTACATACTTACATATTTAGATATTTATAATACTTTGATAATAAAAATAATAATGCTTATACATACGTAGACAGCATTTAACTATAGAGATAGAAGACAGATCAAATATCATATATTCTTTTTTCAAAAATATGCATAAATCCGAGTCTCCCTGTTCACATACACGTATATATGCATCTTCACTGAGATTAGTGCACACTCGAGTACATTTAAGGCCCATGTTTATAATCCGGCTTATTGTATAACTAGATAAAGAAGAACAACCAAACATTAGGCCTAGTAAAAATTAATACATTATTTTTAAATTAAATTGGTAAAAAAAAAATAGGAAAATCGATTTTCACAGGCTTCTCCAGAAGCCAATCATTTGTTACGAGAGCCAGACTGTGGAAGCATAACAGCCTCCCAAGCAAGCTCGGGGATCTTCTGGCAAGGCAATATCGATGTGTGTATGTGGTCTGACGTTGCCCTGATGAATCATAATTCCTCTCTTATTCGCCAAAGCTGGGTAGTACTAAGCTACGTTTCTCTCAACCTGACAACCGCAAAACTGTAATTGATCCATCGGTCTCTATCCGCTTCAGAAATTGATCGAATTAGATACGATTCATTAGCGTTAGTTCATATGGCATGCATACATCGACCTTCTTAGTGTAGCCAGCTCCTTTTTAAAGTGGTTCCAAACTGTTTTTGCGCAATGTTCTGGACAATCTAAACAGTGCTCACATGATGGTCTGACTCGACAATTACCATTATTTTATAGAAATTTTTGACAAATAACCTTCTTCTTCTTTTACATCAAAACAAGCGGAACGAAATCGGCGAAATCAAATTTGTGTAATATTGACTGACTGTCTGACTGGCGCTTTGGCCTTTATCGAAGAAATGTTTCTGTTCATCTTTGGCATGCTTTACTAAACCAATATGTTACGCGGTAGCGTTACTTTGAAATGCGCTTTTCCTGAGAAAAATTTAACTCGATGCTCGAATATTTGGTACGCTCGGTGTCGAAAGTGAATGGTCGAATATAAGGAAAATCTATTCGAAAGCAATTTAACAAACGGAAATCAGCAAAACCGTTATTTATTATCCGTTATTTATTTATTCATTCAATTGTAACACCTTTTAGCCCTGCGTATACATATGTATATATGTATAATATTAGTATGATTTTAAGTTCGAAACGTATTTATTTCAGAATTCGCATACGTCCACGTTGCTTACGCGACGTCTCCGTTATTGACACGAGCTGTCATATATTGGGAATTGATCTAAGATGGCCTTTGGGCATTGCACCCTCAGCTATGCAAAAATTGGCACATCCAGAAGGAGAAGGTGGTAATGCGCGTGCAGCAGGCAATGCCGGCTCAATTTATATACTCAGTACGCTATCTACCATGTCCATTGAGGAAGTGGCAGCAGCCGCACCCAATACCAATAAGTGGTTCCAGCTATACGTTTATAAAGATCGGTAAATAAAATTATTATTAGTATTGAATGAAAATGAAATTATATAATGTTGTATTTTAATGTTTTTTTTTTTATATTTTCTTATTTTCAGCTCACTCACTGAACAAATGGTTAGACGTGCTGAGAAGGCTAATTTCAAAGCAATAGTATTAACTGTAGACGCACCAATCTTTGGCCAACGCCGCTCAGATATACGCAATAAATTCAATCTACCGCCTCATCTACATCTAGCCAACTTTCAGGGCATCAAAGCGGATGGAGTAATTAGTAATAATGAAGCAACATCCGGAATCAATGCCTATGTTTCGAGTCAATTCGATTCGACACTAACGTGGAAGGATGTTACATGGTTAGTGAACTTAACTAAATTGCCAATTATTGTTAAGGGCATACTAACGCGTGAAGATGCTGTACTGGCTCGTGAGTTCGGCTGCGCCGGTGTAATTGTATCAAATCATGGCGCACGTCAAATAGATACTGTACCAGCGTCAATTGAAGCTCTCCCCGAGATAGTTAAGGCGGTGGGTAATGACTTGGTTGTAATGTTGGATGGCGGTGTTACACAGGGTAACGATATTTTCAAAGCATTAGCTTTGGGTGCTAAAATGGTTTTCGTTGGTCGAGCAGCACTCTGGGGACTGGCATGCAATGGGCAAAAGGGTGTGGAAGATCTATTGGGTGTTTTAAAGAAGGATTTTGAAATTACTCTGGGCTTATCCGGATGTCAAAGATTGCATGATATCACTAGTGACATGGTAACACACGAATCTACTTATGCAAAATTATAAAGCAACGAAGCAATTTTTAAAGTGTATATAAGATCTTTGAAAAAAATAAATAAATAAATAATCAATCACAAAGTGAATCGAATATTGTTTTATTGAAAGCCCGATGTAAACTGTGCACTCGGAGCGGTCGCCATTCCTTGTCTAGGCCCGACGGCAAATACAAAAATTTATATCCCTAGATAATTTTTTATGTTATTGCATGTTAAACTCAGCAAGGTTTGAACTTATGACCTTCTTCATGGTAGTATAGATTGCTAGCCAATCAGTTACTGCGACCGTTCACTTTTATTATTTCTTTTCTTAAAAATTTTAAGAGCCTGCCAGGACTCGAACTCTTTCGTTTGAATTGTTCAACATCTATGAATTCCTTTGTTGCAAGATTTTCCAGCAAGCGAAAACTATCCGCAGTAATTTAAATTTATTTCAATCTTTATTGCAGCCTGGCATCACCTTTCAATGAAAAGTCAAAAATTGGTTGTCAAACCTATAACCTAACAATACGCAAAATAAGCCGTTTCATCGCTCGCAAACAAAAACTAAAATTACTTAGTTTTTTGGTGTTTTCCAATTTTTTTTATTAAATAGTAATATTTCAAGCTATCAAAAATGAGCTCTATCGGAACTGGGGTAAGTCAAATTTTGTAAATTTATATTTCTATTAAATGACTTTGATTCCAATTTGTCCACTTCGCAGTATGATTTATCGGCATCCCAATTTTCTCCTGATGGTCGAGTATACCAAATTGAATATGCTGGCAAAGCCGTTGAAATGAGCGGTACGGTAATTGGAATGCGTGGAAAGGATGGTATTGTGTTGGCCGTTGAGAAAATTGTTACCAGCCAATTATATGAAGATGACGCAGCCACACGAATTTTCACAGTTGATAAAAACATTGGTATTGCAATTGCTGGTCTACTCGCTGATGGGCGATACATAGTGGATATTGCACGTCAAGAGGCTGCTAATTTTAGACAACAATTCGAACGTACAATACCACTAAAACAATTAACCGAACGTGTGTCAGCTTATGTCCACGCGTATACGCTATACAGTGCGGTGCGTCCATTCGGTGTGTCTGTTATATTAGCGTCCTGGGATGAAGAGCAGGGTCCACAATTATACAAAATCGAACCTTCCGGCACATCATTTGGATATTTTGCATGTGCCAGTGGAAAAGCCGAGCAACAAGCAAAAACAGAAATGGAGAAATTGAAATTTGCCGAAATGAGCGTCGAAGATTTAGTGCAGAACGCGGGCAAGATGTAAGTATATAATAAACATTAGAACTTTATGGTTTTATTTTCTATATAATGTTTAAATATTTCAGAATCTACCAAGTGCATGACGAACTGAGAAATAAAGATTTCCACTTTGAAATGAGTTTGATCAGCAAAGAAACGAAAGGTTTACATCGCTTAAATCCTCAACCATGGTACGATCAGGCTGTTCAAGCGGGTCTAGCGGCCAAGAATGAAGATGACAGTGATAATGAGATATAAGATGTTTTTTTTAATTAATTTAAATCTCAATATTGTAACTAATATATTTGATTTTGCTAAAAATGATTCAATATAGTTTGACATACTAAATAAAATCGCACATAATATGTGAAGTCGAAAAAGGGATTTGGAATTTTTTTTTGGTTTTTTAATAAAATAATTGTAGTGTACATTAATAATATCCGATAAATGTAACTTTTATTAAATATACATAGGGAATAATGTTATAATTTCCAAACTATGTGCACTTATTCAAAGATCTCAGTGCTGTTCAAACTATCAAATATTACTGTGAATAGACTATTATGTGATTACGTGCCGGCAATAGATAAAACAGCTGTTGAAGTTATTTCTAGACAAGATTAAAATGCTGCTAATAAAACGTTTTTGTGGCGGATTCCAACGCATAAATGCAATTACAAAAGGTTCCAAGCCAGGAGAACGTCTCAGCGTACAGGTGAGTATATCGCATTTCGTCAGTCAATAAAGAGAATATATTCAGTAATGATTTCTAATAGGGCTGGATACAAAACATACGACGGCTAAAGAAAAATATATTTTTTGACTTAAACGATGGCTCTACTATGCGAAAGTTTCAAGTAGTGATACCAAAAAATTCAGACACTAAAGACATTGGGGTAGGCAGCAATATAAGTGCGACTGGTTGTGTACAAACTGCACCAAATGGACAACTTGAATTACATGCTGAACACGTAGAAGTAATAGGTCTTAAAAAAATAGTTTGGTGTGTGAACGAAATTTATACATAAGCCTTTGTGTTCATTATAGCTGACGGTAACATTACGGAGGGCTACCCCTTCTCTCCGAAGCAACAACATTCACCGGAATATGTGCGTGAACACTTGCATTTACGTTCGCGAGTCGATTATATTGCGGCACAGTTGAGACTGAGGCATCGGGCAATGAAGGCAATACATGATTACATGGATAAATTGGACTTTATTCAAATTAACACACCCGTACTTACAACAAATGATTGTGAGGGAGCTGGAGAAGTAAAAAATATTCAAATTTTGTTATATTGTATATATATTGACAAATTTTGCTATTTAAACTAAATCTTATTTATAGGTGTTCCGAGTACAACCAGATTCTGCTGATCTCCTTAAAGAAATGACACGTCCAAGTATACCGATAGAGCAAAGCTATTTCGATAATAAGGTTTTTCTATCGGTTTCGGGCCAATTTCATTTGGAAGCCATGACCTACGGCTTAGGTAATACGTACACCTTAAACCCAGCATTTCGTGCAGAAAACTGCAAGTCGCCCATACATTTATCGGAATTTTACATGTACGAAGCAGAGATAGCATTTATTACAAATATTTCCTCCTTAACGGAATTTATTGAAAAAATGATCAAAGCAATAACATCTCGCATCATAGAATCATCACTAGATGATTTAAAATTTTGCCAAGAGAAAGCTTTGGGTTCTGCATTTGATATACCTTGGCTGGAATCCCCCTGGATAACACTTAGCTACGATGAAGCTTGCGATATTATACTTGCAAACAAAGAAAAATTCAAAACAGAGTTGAAACCGGCCGAAGGATTTTCTAAAGAACAAGAGTTGTATATGGTCGAATATTGCCAAGCACCGGTATTCGTTGTGGAATGGCCTGCGAACCAAAAACCGTTCTACATGAAAGCTGTGCGCTCAAATCCAGAGCGCGTACATGCTTTAGACTTGTTAATGCCTGGAGTAGGAGAGTTATGCGGTGGAAGCTTGCGTGAAAATGACGAAGAACGACTGCGGGCGCTCCCACATCTACCCCAGGGTCTAGAATGGTATTTGGAGTTGCGAAAGTATGGTGGTACACCAACAGGTGGATTCGGTATGGGTTTCGAACGATACTTACAATTAATAACAGGTGTTAAAAACATACGGGATGTCATACCATTTCCGCGCTACCCACATAGCTGTAAATTGTGAAGGCCATTCAAATATATATTTTAAGAACCAATATGTATGTCCATGAAAATTTAATAAAAACCTTTGAAACAAACATAACGTTAAAAATTAACAAAGAAAAATTACTAAGAAATTTGTTTACAAAATTCATCCAACCGTATTTATTCACAATAATCGTTAAAATCAATTGTAACACTTTGTGAATACCCTCACTTCCGTGTCAAATATATCGAAATTTCTCTTCAATTTAATTTCCCGCGCAAATGGCCTAACAGCTGTTCAGATATCTGTGGTTGACTGAGTTCTGTAGAGCTAACATAAACAAAAGTTTGTTTTGCTTTAAAAATTGCTTCTTACAGCATTTTAATTAAAAAGAACTTAAGGCCAAAAAGTGATTAGATAAGCAAAGTCAATGTCATGGCCTCTTTAACTGAGCAAATGCTTATTAAAATGGGTCTGCGCGACGAGCCCAGCGCTCAAAGGTTGGTATTTAACAAAACTCCGGCACAGGTATAAAATATGTGTATTTGTTTGGTTTTCTTTTGCAGCAAAACTTTGGAATTGTTGCGACTACTGGAGTTACGATCTGCAAATATAACTTTACAGCTAAATGAATATGCTAAGACTGTTATTTGTGCTGATATTGCAACATCATTATTAGATATAGCTATAGATATGGTAAGAAAACTTGCAATCCACAATAACCATACGTAATTGAACCATTTATTTTAAAAGGAGCAAGCAGTCAAGCTATCCACTTTACGTAAATCTCATTACACAAAGCAGAAACGTATGATTGAGAAGCTCCTAGATTTGAATAGGATTGTGGGTGTAAATGATATATGCGTGCAACTAGGCATGACTGAAGTTTCACAAAAGGCGAACGAATTGCTGGATCTATACAAAACAGTAATGGCAAAAGAATGCGCTGGTGACGAAAATGACTTTATACATCCCCAATATGCAGCAATGGCAGTTTTTGTGGCAGCCAAAATATTAAAACAGAAAGTTTCCAAAGCAAAGATATTGAGCTTTAGTAATTTGCGCCAATCACAATGGCAACAGCTAGAGTTACGCTGGAATAAGTTTTTAGCTAAACACTATAAGGAAACAGCACATAAGAAGCAAATAATATGCATTGGGGAGTCGAAAGGTGATAATAAAAAAGCAGAAAGCTGCGTAGGAATTAAACGCTCGACGGCTACTATAGAAGATTATGAAAAGTGGAAGAGAAGAATGTTGGCGATGGCAGAGGAGAAACTGAGAAGTGAGCAAGAAGGATGTAAAGACGGTGAAAGCGATACGGATAAAGAAAATCTTATTTTAGGAATGTAGTTGGTAAAGATTTAAAATAAAAATATTTATTAATAAAGAAAAAAGGGTGTATACATATGTATGCATATTTTTATTATATATATATATATATATATATATATATATATATATATATACTGTTTTGTATAGATCCAGCAATTCGATCGCCTTTTGTGAAATATATATATATATGCATATATATAATAAAAATATCTATATATATATACACTATTAGCGTTCAAAATCATGCCTTGATAAGACGGATTTCGCAAATTGTTTACCTACAATATGATTAGAAATTCCAAATAATAAACACAATTTAAATATCATCAAAGAAAATTATATACATATGTACATATGCGCATTTCCCATATACATATATATAATAGGGGCTTTGCAGCCGCTGAAGCGATTTTTTGTTTTTAAATACAAAAAAATTCGAGCCACTCCTGTATCAATAGTCATGCCGGCTGTCATCATAGTCAAGTGTTTTCCGAATACTTTCAGTCAAATTTTTCGACTCCATTGACAGTATTAAATGCTTGAAATGTGTAAAAAGCATTTCTCCAATGTCTTGTTTTCCACCATTTGGCTTGTAGTCTAAATGAAAAAAAATAAAAAATATACATATAATTCAGCCATAAATTGTACATAGACAAATATTTTTAAACACTCACCATCATAGAAAATTAAATCTATTTCTTCTTCCGTTTCCGGCCACTTATAAACCAGCTTTCGCAAATATTTGTAAAATTTCAAAAGAATTTCTCGCTGCATTTCTTCTATTTGTTTAGTTTTTGTTAGCGGCAGATTAAGTGTTTCAAAAAAAGTTAATATCGGTGTCGCTCCTTCCAACGATAGGTAATAGAACCTATTATTAATTGGTTTCGTAAAACGGTATACATCATTCTGATAAGCTCGAAACACTCCAGCACGATTGTGATACGCACTCTTCAAAGCCTGTTGGTTAAAGTAAAAAACAAATATTGCAGTTACTTATACACCGTGCACATAATATACTCTTATTGACAAAATGTTACCTCCGCCTTTTCCAAATACAAGCTTTCAAATTTTGATTTTATGAATAATTTACTTGGTATTAGTATAACCAATCGTTTAGTCGCAAATTTTACGCCATGTTTTTGCTCATAAAACTCTATTCTCTCCCGTATCCCAGTACCGCTATTAACTGCAGGTAACGCCAATTTTAAGTAGCCATGAAAGTAATTCGCTGCCATACTTGATGCCGAATCCAATCCATGATTTTCACGAATAAACATAGCATAATCGATTGTGCTATGACCCATTTGTGAGAGTGAAATTAACCACCACAGTGGTATAAATGCGAAATATATTGGTGGCGGTATAAAATGTTGGCGCTTATCACAACTGACTCGTATTAGCGCCACAATAATAACTAATAAATAAATTACTAAACTGGCTACATTGTAGGAAAATGCACGACACAATATGGTCCATAAGCGATTTTCGGGAAAATAATGGTTTTTGTATTTGAAGTATTCGATAAGTACTTTATAAGAGCGCAGCAGCACATCCGCGATAAAAAATGTCACCAAAATATAAATGCAGTTATCTGAAAGAGAAATTTTAAATATCCTTTGAATATTAATTAAAAAACATTAATGCATTGTTTATTCATTTCTATGTGGCAAAACCAAAATAAGGTACTAAACTATCCCAATCCTTTTTATTGGGTTAAATTAAATTAAATACATACCAATATATTCCCCAAATGCGTTCATTTTAGTTTTTCTCACTCTTTCGCGTTTTAATTTTAATTTTTTATTATGTAAACTTTTTTCTTCGTCATATATTTCCACCATTATAATTGCCCGAATCGCACAAAATACAGCTCAGGATCTTGCTATCGCAATTTTAATGATCATATTTGCTAAATGGTCAGCCTTTTTGCAATGCTGAATGAAAAAAACGTCAACTTTAACATATTAAAAACAAGACTAAAAATAATAAGTGGTGATCTATAACAGTTTATGCAGTCAATTTATGTCGAAGTTCCTTTGAAGGAGCATAAGCTTTTTTCGGCAAAACCTAATCAAATTTTGATATTTCCTTGGAAAACTTTGCCTAACAACGATGTGCAGAACACGTATTTTTATAAATATATGTATTTAGTATCTTTGGAGGAAGTGTTAAACAAGCAGTGTTACAGTGCCCTTACAACTATAAATCAATTACATCAGCTGTTAACGTATTATTGTGAACAGTACCTTAAATATTATAGTAATTTGTAAAATTTTTATTAAGAACATCAGTGCATCAAAATATAACTTTAATACTTACTTTATCTCAAAAAAATATATATTTAAAACTATATACGCAGTCAAAAATTTGGCATAAGTAAGGAGGTACAGAAACTCTAAAAAATGAAGAGGCGTGTGCTGGGAAGAAAGGTAAAGTTCAAATGTAAAATAAACGACCTTTTGCACTTTTAGTAGAAAAACGTATACTGTTGTTATAAATCATTTAATTGTTAATTCAATTGCAGTTATACAAAGTGTAAATTCTTGATTCAAGAAGTGGTACGCTATTACTCCTAACCTTGCATAAAAGTGTACTTGTCAATCAATGCCCAGATGCTGTCCTCTAAATTAAGAGACTAACAAGAAGCAAATTTTGTTTAATGTTCCACCTTCATGCATACATATTTATGTATTTATGTCCTCTATGTAACCAAATTTGCTAATTGAACTTACAATGATCGAGGAGGTAGGTAAACATTATTGCAAGAATAAATTATGCTATTAATTGCTATTTGTATACATACCATATCATTTTATAATTATAATTGTAATAAGTTATTAAAAATATGTCGTTCATGCTTAAATTGCTTAAAATATCGTAAAATAATTATATGTACTAATATATCAAAAATGCATTACTTCATCAATAACGAAATATGTCTATGTCATTGCAATATAGTACCTTAAATATAGTTATTTTTTGTATATAACCATCTCTATATATTTGTAATATTTTACTCGCCACTAGAAAAAAGTTTTGTCGGGGAATTCAAAACGCTCCATCGACGATGGTTCATCACCGAAGTATGTATACACTGGACGTATGCTGGAATTGATTGAGGCTTATAATGTTGCCGTGCAAATTTTATATCCAAAGTATCCATGGTATATATTTCCAGGACATCTCACCTATGAAATTTATAAGCGCTACATAAAATTTTATAAAGGTAAATTTCGTGTAGTGCCCATACCGAATGCTTTGTATGAGCATTTAATAGGAAACGAACTTATAAAATCAGAGCATATTGTTTTCGCAACAAAGGATGTCTATGATGAATATGCCGAATCGCCCGATGTAAATTTTATTAATTTGGTTGTAAACGCAGAGAGCAGTTTATATGGACCAACCATTGACGACGCTTCAAAAAGCAAGAATTTAATAGTGGCATCTGACAATGTCATCAAACAAATGCTGAATAATGCTCCACATACGATAGTTGCACAGTTACTACCTACGGCTAACTGTCAGTCCAATTGTATTTTTGTACAAGAAAATTTCTATGCCAATTTAATGGATCGTTTTCGTGTAACTAACGATTGCAGCCGGCGCACACGTTTCTGGGCGCATTTAGAGCATTTGAAAGACGACCAAACGATTCCGAGCATTGCTACCAAAGCTCATATCTACTTGTTAAATAACCCATACGATTTGCCTGCAGAGGTGTCCGAGTTAATATTAAATAATTATTTTAATACGCCACGACTGCTTCATCGCGGACACACTTATCGTATCGAGGTCAATGCACAACTAGTGGGTACCGTGGCGTATGCGCATTATTATTTAATTTTTGCTTATTTGAAAAATGTTCACTTCCGGTGTGCACATCTTGAACTGAAAGGAAATGATTTTGAGATGCAATCCATTGTGGCTAAGAACTTTACAAACCTGGTACAAGTGCCACACACTCATCACTTTCTACCCAGGCAACTGTTGGACAATATTGCAATTACTGAAAACTATCCTTCTGGCTTGAGACGTGCTTACCAATTGCTGCGTAATTCTATTGATGCTTTTCTGCCAAAGAAATCTGCCTGTTTGTCCTCTAAGCACATCTATCCTATTTTTCTAATGCAAGGCGAACGTGGTGCAGGCAAAACGAAATTAACGAATGCCGTTGCCCAGGAATTAGGCCTTCACGTGTATGGTGTCGATTGTGCGGAAATAGTATCACAAGTGCCTTCACATACAGAAATGAAATTGAAAACAGTTTTCGCAAAGGGCGGCGTTAGCGAACCGCTACTAATATGTTTTCATAATTTTGAGGTAAGTTTTTAGTGAATTCAATATTTACCAAATTTAAGTAAAATTCGTCTTACAATTTTTTCAGATATTCGGCATCGATAATGAAGGCAATGAGGATCTACGCTTACTATCTGCTTTTCAGGTTCAAATGCAAGAACTTTTTACACACGATCGCAAACATCCTATAGTTATTGTAGCACTGACTAATGACAGATTTCTGAAACCAATGATTCAGCGACTTTTCTTAGAAGTCATCCACTTGGAAACGCCAACAAAAGAGGAGCGTTATCAAATATTGTGTTGGTTACATGCACGTGAAATATTCAACGATAAAATTTTTAATAAAAAGGAGATTTCGTCCTTGCCATTATTCAGCATCGAGCAACGAGATCGTTATATGTTGCAAATCTCAAGCAAATGGTTGGAAGTCAAATCGGTTTTACGCGAAGTTTCTGATAAATCACAAGGTTTCTTGTTGGGTGATTTACAAATGTTGTATGAGAATGCTATACGTGCAATGCGCAGTGGTCGTGAGACTAAGTCAAATTCTTCTCTGAAAATGTTGCATTTCGGGCAACATCTCAGTGATATGCAAAGCTCATTTGCCGATAGTCTCGGCGCACCTAAAGTGCCGAAAGTTCTTTGGTCTGATATAGGTGGTCTCTCTAAACTGAAGGATGAGATTCAGAGTAGTATCGGTTTGCCATTAAAGCATATGCATTTAATGGGTAAGAATTTAAGACGTTCGGGTATACTACTTTACGGTCCACCAGGAACAGGCAAAACACTAGTTGCCAAAGCTGTAGCAACAGAATGTAATATAAGCTTTCTATCTGTACAAGGTCCTGAATTGCTCAATATGTATGTTGGACAGAGTGAACAAAATGTGCGTGAGGTGTTTGATCGTGCCCGTTCAGCTGCGCCTTGTGTACTCTTTTTGGATGAACTGGACTCTTTGGCACCCAATCGTGGCGTAGCTGGTGATTCTGGTGGCGTAATGGATCGTGTTGTATCTCAATTACTTGCCGAAATGGATGCTTTGGGTGATGCGTCGAAACCGGTATTCATTTTAGCTGCCACAAATCGCCCAGATCTTATCGATCCAGCATTACTCAGACCTGGTCGGTTTGATAAACTCTTCTATGTGGGTCCCTGCACCACAACTGAAGACAAAGCTGCTGTTTTACGCGCACAAACACAACGTTTTAATCTGGCTGAAAGTTTGAATTTAAATGACATTGCAGAACAACTCAAGGGCGACATGTCCGGTGCTGATCTCTATTCTATATGCTCGAATGCCTGGTTATCGGCAGTAAGACGTACGGTTGATAGTCACCACAAAGGTAAATATATCTGTATTAATCCATTAAAATAAATGAAAACTTATATATTTATATGTATATAACTGCAGTTGGAAGCGGTACTGAACAACTAGCCGCTGAGAATGTACTTGTGGAATTGGAGGATTTCACCAAGTCTTTTAACAAATTTGTACCGTCGATTAGTAAAAATGATTTGGATTATTTCAATCAACTGAAGTCGTCGTATAGTGTTTAGATATTAATATGCAGTTGCTATACTTCATAACCTTTCTTTTGTTCAGCACAGTTCACTCAAGTACGAAAAAATGAAAAAGAATATATCAAAATATATTTTGTTACCGTTAAATAAAATTTTAAACTTGTTTATTAAATATATCTTTCTTTTCTATTTATGAACAAAAATAATGGTGTCCTGTTATTGTTTTTGTTGTAACTGCAAAATATCCCCCAAATCGGCTTTCGGGAAATATTGTGAGAGTGACAGTCCTTGACCAGATAAAACGGGTCGTTCCGGCATAAAGTCGCGAGAACTATTGGATATTGCTCGCCTCTTACGACAGGCATGCATTACCATGAGGATGAATTCTTGAGACCCTAAACCGCAGGGGAAATTAAGGTTTAATGCTTAAAGTTGGCTATTAGGGTGTTAATTATATTATCTATAATTTGGGATGTTGGTCGGGCTTGCAATCCCGAATAAGGAGTATGCACTACTAAGGAATAGAAAAAATGTTATGGACCGAAAATTTTTATTAGAAAGTCAACTTTAGTTCCACCCTAACAACAATTCACACATATTTTTTTACAACAGAGCTGGCAGCTCTGCCAACGAAAGAGCTGAAAGACCATGGTAAGAAAATAATAAACAATATATAATTCACACTCGTTTGCTACAAAAAATTACTAACTTCAGGTTTTAATGTATTTTACATTACTTGTATTCGAAACTAATTAAAAAGTGGAGATATGGCCAATAGCTACGACATACCCAGTTGGTAAGTATTCTTGCTTTGAATCTGGAATTCATCATTGAAAAATGAGACTGTTGTATAAATTTTACAGGGCTGGTAAACCTCCCACTGGGCTGCATTTAGATGTTCTAAAGGAAGACAAGCTTGTCCAGAAGCTTATGGTGGATGAGAAACGATGCTACCTCTTCGGTCGTAATAGCCAAATGAATGATTTTTGTATTGATCACGCTTCTTGTTCCCGTGTGCATTCAGCTTTTGTGTACCATAAGCACTTGAATATCGCTTATTTAGTTGATTTGGGCTCAAGTAAGTTGCAGTAGAATGCAGCACTGTGTATGTACTAAGCTTTTAATAATAATATTGATACTTTTCACTAGCACATGGCACATTTATTGGTACATTGCGGCTGGAGCCCCATAAACCGACGCAGCTACAAATTAATAGCACATTTCATTTCGGCGCATCTACGCGACGTTATATTTTGAGAGAACGTCCTTCGGCTGGTCAACGCAACAGCATTATGGAAGATTTACCTATGAATGAGACAAGTGATGGAGCTTTGCTTGGCTTGCCCGAGAGTCAAACCGAATTGGATGTAAGTGTATTTAAATATGATATATGAAGTTATAATTTTTTTTTCACAGAATCTCACCGAATACAATACTGCTCACAATCGGCGAATTTCGATGTTAGGTATTGCAGATGATAACTTGCGCAAGGTTAGCAATCTTTTGTTTTTACTACTAATTGTTTTCCATTTCTTAATATACGCAAATTTTAACCCTCCAGCAAAATGCTGCAAAACAAAGCAATCGGAAACGGCGTAATGTTACCTTTAATGACGAAGAAATTATCATTAATCCAGAAGATGTTGATCCAACAGTAGGACGTTTTCGAAATTTGATACAAACAACAGTTGTACCAGCGAAAAGAGCACGTTTTGATTCGGGTAATCATATGGGAATTCAGTCTTCGCCAAATAATGGTACTATATCGTCAAGCACCACAAGTAGCCATCAAATATTCCAACAAAGCTTAGCTGAATTAAAGCAGCAAGTGGTTGCCGCACCGTTGTCGCCCACTTCTCTATATCAAGGGCTACCCGCCTCCGTGCATGATTCACATCCAAATTCTAGTCTAAAGTTCAACAACAGCAGTTCTGACTTTGATATTACACCAATTGCTATGGGTACGAAATTAGGTCTATTATTGCCCAACCCAGCGCCTGATGTAACACCCGTTGTGGTGGAGCCATCTCAAGTTAAATCTGCAGCCGTACAAGGTGCTGCGCAAAAATTAGGGCAAGTCAATGCAAATTGTAAGTATTCGCTGCTTAAAAACATGTGTATGCATAAGAAAATACTACATTCTAAATTTGTGTCGATATGTAATATAGTGCGTTTCGAACAACACGGAGCCTCTGCATCGGAGGGCGGTGTGCATGGACCCCAAAAGAAGAAATATGCTAAAGAGGCATGGCCCGGACGGAAACCAATGCTTGGTCAGCTGTAAATGTAATTTTTGATATGCGAACAAGAAGATGGTGTTGATTTTTGATGGAATTTTAAGTAAAATATCAATAACACCTACACATATACATTTGTATGTATATATAACAAGAATAGTTTTTCTTCTCGATCGAGGGAGGCATAAAAGTGGGAGTTTTTCGTTTCTTGTTTCTTGAAAAAAAAATAAAAAAATAAAGTCAAAATCTTTGTCTTAAACACAACTGAGTAGCGAGCTGAAATATCTAACGCAACCCAATATTAAACCCATTTATACCAATTATGAACTATAATCTTTGCAATATGCACTTAGCAGTAATTTGTACAAATATTTAGTTACCAAACACACCTTTTACAAATGGAGACTGAATTTTCCGACACACCACACAACACAGTGCTTCTGAAACTCACAAACAGCTGTTCACATATCAGTAAATAAACCATAATTTTTTTTTTTATAAATAAAGTCCAAGAAGAGGAGAAACTACAAGCACCTGCACTCTGGTTCACGATTTTAAAAAAAATATATAAATCAAACTAAGTTTACAATGTATACCGTGCCTGTGATACCTCCCGATCTACGTCATGAAGAAACTATCATCCAAGCAGCCATAGCCCTAGATTGTCTACAGAAAACAATAAATTCCGTATTTGACCGCATAGACAGTCGAACTCAACGAAATAATGCCAAAGTAGAAGAATTGAGCACACGTATCGAACGGGCACAGGCGAAAATACGCAGTTTGGTTGGTACCAAAAAGGCGATTAAAATCTACGCACCAGCACGTTTTCCATCGGCCCAAGCTTTCCACGATATTCCACAAACATTCACTAAATTAACAATGTCGGATGAAAAAATAATGAGATTGCCAAATGAAAATTATGAAATTTATAGCCGCGTAGATGCGGCACCAAATCAAGGGCTGCAAGAAAAATTAGTTTTCTTTCATGTGCGTTATAAGGATTTGGATGTACCATTGCACTGTCAAACAGTCACCAGCAATAAAGAAAATGTAAACAAAAGCATTGGTATGGGTATCGTGCCAGAAAAATTACGTTCAATTTCGTCATTATTACAATGTAACAATAATGAAATGGTTTATGGCCAAGAAAATGTTGAAAAGGACGCATGGAAAAAAGCAAAATTCTATAAAATGCCGCGTCAACGCCCAGATAATAACACAGAAGCCAAGCAACTCCTAGAACCTGCGCCGTACTCATTAGCTCATCGCAATCAAAAAGTAAATTCCTTTGGTGGCCTGCGTTATACACCACGACTGAATGAGGCTCCGGAAATCGACTTGCCACTAGACTTACCTGATTTGCCAGGCATTGCAGACGATATACATTTCGAAGGTAAAGATCAGCAGCAAATTGCGCCGTCACTATTTATTGAAAATCTGCCAGATTTGCCAGAGTTAGAAGAGGCATCTACTAAAGAAGCGACAAGCGGTACGAATCAAAATGGAAATAATACTATCATGGACATAGTGCCACCACCACCGCCACCAACAGCAACCGCAATAAATCAAAAGACGATAATTAATGCCAACACTGTAGTAGCGGCGCCACCTCCACCGCCTCCTCCGCCACCACCACCACCCTCTTTGTTAACACCACCACAACCACAAACAAAGTCCGAAGAAAAAAGCGTCGAAAACGCTGCAAATAAGAATTTGCAAAATGCAAATAACGACAATGCACGCAATGAGCTAATGGATGCTATACGCAAAGCAGGCGGCGCACAGGGTGGTCGTCTACGTGCTGCTGCTGCCGCGCCCGTTGATGTTGTCGATAATCGTTCAAATCTCAAATCAGGTGAGACAAATCTTAAACTAGGCAAAAGGGGGGGTGGAGATCTCATGGCAGATTTACATAACAAGTTATTAATGCGTCGCAAGGGTATCTCTGGTGTGAAAGAAAATACCAATACTGCTGAAACAGCTGGAAGCAAGAGCATAACAATTGCAACTGATAATCCTGTTATGTCACGCTTATCAGCACTAATACCACCACCACCAGCCGGACGTAAACACTCGGATGATGATGACGATACACACGATGAGGACAATGACACCGATTGGGTAGAATAGTTTTGGACAACAAGGTACAACAGTTACACGCGGCTCTCAAATTATTTGATAGTAAGCGAAGTGTGAATTTAAATACACGCCTGTGCATAGTTTCAGTTACAAAAAAAGCAATGCACAATCTTTTGATCTATAATTTAGTAGCTTATAAATTTGAACGAGTTTTGGCATATCTTTAACATATTTATATTTCAACAGTTATCACTAAACATTAAGCTTGTCTGTTTTAAGCGTAAAAAAGGGATTATACTATATGTCTAACTGGCATATTTTTATACAATATACTTTTAAACAAATTCACAATATAACCATTCAAAATACGGCATACAATAAATATACACATAAATAAATATAATACAAGCTGTTCAGTAAACGTTTTTACATTAATTTATTAACTTTTGTAAGAACTAAACGTTCTAACTGTTCATCAGTTAGCTGCTGCCCTTTCTGCCCATTGCTGACATTCAGAAAAGTTTGGTAAAAATTGTTCAATGCCATTGAAGTTGGCGGCATAGTGTTGTATTTATGAAAAACCTTTTGAACAAGTGGATATCGATTTAAACAAGCAAATGTTTTATCCTCATCATGCACATAGCTTAACAATTCTTTACGTATAATGGTGCTAGGCTTATTATCCAATGCCGCTTCTAAAATGGAAAATAAATTTATTCAGAATATTTTATTCATGTACAATAACATAATTTTTTGTTTACCTTCATTATCCTCCGGATTAAAGCATAAAAATGTATCTACAGATGGTTGCCGCTGTTTTTCTCTAATTTCCACTTGTTCATTATGTGTATAGAATTCTTCTGCATAATTTGTTAGAAGTTCAATTAGTGTCTCTGTTGATACATTGGGTGCTGTCTCGCGCATTGCTTCCAAGAAACGCATTTTCACAGCTGGGCAGACTATAGCGGAAATGATTGCATCATTGCATTCAGAGCTCAATTCAAAATACTTCTGTAAGCGTTGTAATAAAGCATTACTCAGTTGCTGCGCCACGCTGTGCAAATGTTTTATATGTCTACAATCGTGCAATTTTTGTAATTTGACTTTAATTGTTACAATAGTAGGTAGAAAATAACCGTGATATAAATAATTCTCTTGCTGTAGAAATTCCAATGCATCTGCAATTGGTTTGAGTATCATGCAGAATTCTTTCAAATATTCAATTTCCTCTTGGCTGAATTTGGATACATTGAGAAAAGTGCATAGCTCATCTATGTGTTGTTTTCGTGTGAGTAGTTGTGTCAACGATGCATACCAAACTGGCCAACGTACATCGTCTGGAGCCAAACGACATTCAAATAAATATACAGCAACTTCATTCGCCTCAAAATCGTTACATCTACTTAATATATTTAATGCGCTAAAATATTTTCATATAATATTAATTTATTAAATGGTTGCGGGTTATTGTAGTGGGTAGAAAGAATATAATGAACTTACCGTGTCAGTATTTGATGCAGCATTTCATGAGCTTTCAAAATGTTATAAAAATCAAATACTATCAATATGTGCAGACTATGTTCGCCCCATTGAAATCGCTTTGGAAGTTGATTCAGTAAAGGTTGAGCGCTACCAAATGTAATATCCAAATCCTCTCGACAGTTATCCGGACAAATGCCTTTAAAATTAATTGAAAATCGTTATAACGCCATTCGCATTGTTATGCATACATATATCTTTAAGGAAGAGCAGAAGGTCTCTTTAGCATTAGCTGCTAATAATTTACACAAAATTTGAACTTTTTGTGTACCAAAAAATTGTCGCATAGTGTAAAAACTGACCTTACTACACTTCATACATGATATGTAGCTCACGCTTACTTTTGATGCTGAAATTATGAAATGTTTGTGCGAAATCCTGTACACCATCCACAACAGTACAGATTATTTTATCCTCATTCAATTCATATTTATTATGAATTTGTTTTATTAACGTCTCGACATCATGGACACTTGGCATATCACAAAGCTTAACACAAGCAAGTACTGCCATTTGACGTTTTAAATCGTTATCTAACCAAAAGCAAGTATATCCAAAATATTGTTTATTTTGACTACTCCAAATATCAGCTGCCACACAAATATGAGGTACCTCTTGCAGTCTATACTTAATATTCTCTACAAAAGCGCTATGCATATCATCTAAGCGTACAAGTAGGCGCGCACTGGTACATAAAGATATTCCGGTGCCACGAAAGAGTTCAACAAAAGTTGGTTCTTCCATTACAGAAATCGGTACGTTTGTTGATATAAAGAAATTTAAAAGTTTTTCAACAATTGGTAATTGTGTGGGCTGTTTAGTGAGCGACCGACGACATCGGTTACTACCATTAAATTTATCTTGTAAATACATATTATACTCCTTAAAGTGGCGGTTTCGTAAGTGCTGTATAAAATTCGAAGTGACTTTTAACGGTCCTTTAACCAATTTATCGGTTTCGCAGAATTGACAAGCGGCTACAACGCCAATAGATGCACGGTTGCTGTTTGTATCCTAGAATATGAATATGATAGATTAAAAATTAATTTTCTTAAATAAAAGGGGTAGTAGCTGTTTCAATTTCTTACCTGCTCAATGATTTTAAAATACTTCCCGTTTAATATTGTGGGTATCTCATTCGGATCGCAGGGCGGTTGGTAGATACCACTCTTTTTATCAATGCTTTCTTCCGACATATGAGTGTCGTTCGATTCAGCAGAATACATATCGTTGTTGCTGCAAGGATAGTGTAAAATATTATAATCAGTATCAATCTGATCAGTACATAAATCCTTCTCAATTTTACTCAGTATTATTGGCATTAAATGTTGATGTTGGTTGCGTATTGTCGGTGAATGCAGTGGCACCCTCTTGACTTTGATCGTTGATATCGTCATCCACATAACCTTCAGTTCTTAAGTGGTTTTCATTCTATTAAAAAAAAAAAATACAGTAAATTAAAATTACAAATCAGTAAGAAAACAGTGTTTTTGCCTATACCGCAATTTGGAATATTCCACGTTTTTGAGCGCGCCTTCCTCTTGGCGTACGCGTTTGTAGTTGCCTTTCGACTATGAATTCCTCATATTTTGCCGGATGCAGAGTCTTCAGATGACGTACAAAATTCGAAGTTATTCTCATTGAACCCTGTATTGGTTTCACTTTCTCTCGTGAACAATGCTGGCACATAGCTATGACGCTGCGTGCAACTCGCTGCTGCTCAGTGGTCTTCATCTGTGGAAAATTAAAAAAATCTTTTATTTATTGTTTTCGGGGAAAATATATAAACCATATTACCTACCTCTTCTATAATTTTGAAATATTTTCCATTTAATACAATTGGTATGTCGTCTGATTCCGTCGGCTGCGTATCCAACTCGTTGCTATTAAATTATTTTTAAAATAAACGAATTAAGAAACTTACATTTATAAAATAAGCGCTTCGTGCATAGTTACCTTCGCTCAACACTACTGAGTTGGGTGTAATTGTTACCATCAAAGCCAGGCGATTGAAATGTTGTATAATCATTTTTAGATTTAATAATTTGGTCGTAGTGCTGAAACATTTAATGAAAAATAATTTAAGTTTCTTTTTTTTTTTAAATTACGTCAGTAAATACCCTTTGAACTGCGTCGACCATTCCATTTCTATGTTCATTAATGCCACTCATTTCTGCTTCGTTATGAGCATATTGATGATAGCTAACGTACTCCCTGTTGTTAACAGTATAGGAACTGGAAGAACCTTGTCCGAATTGATTGTTATGCATTGGTTGTGAGTGGTTCATAATGAAAGGTTCTGTATCCAATTCGCAAGTTTCCAATTTGACGAAATTATTTATCGGTTCCATTTTTAATAATTTACACCTTTACGTAGTGTCCTATTTTTTCAATAAAAATAAATTAATAAGTGAAAATAAGTATACACTCAGAAACGATGTTTTATTAGCTAATATTCCTAATTGATCAAAGAGGATTTGCTATATATTAAACTACAACAAACCATTGCTCTTTGGTTTTTGTCTGCATAAATATTTGAAAATGTATCAACGAAAACCAATAACTGTTCTACTAGTATTTCACTTCACCATTGATCTCAAAATTCATTCATTCATGCACCTAATCATTATTCAAAAACAACTGATGGTAAATATTTTCCTCAAAAACGGAATTCACATACCAAAAATAATCGCCGACTAATTGATCAATCATTTTAATTGATTTCAATGATTAATCAAAATGGCGTAATTTTTATGACTTATTCATAGGGTTGCATTCTTTTAAAGTTTCCGAGCTCCATGACACTGTAATATAATAGTAAAGCCTCAAAATATGTTTAAAAAAAAGAAAGTGCACAATTATCACTCCCTTGGTTCTTAGCACGAAGTCCTGTTTTAATAAATTAAATGATAATTATTTATTAAAAGATTGCGTTAAATTATAAAATCAGTTGTCGGCAAATGTTTCTTTGCTGTTAACAAAATAGGTGATGAATCTAGAAACTATTGTTACTTGAACAAAGCTAATCTTACAGTCAAATATTTGTGACATCGCGAATTTTATTAAAATTTGCGAAAATTCTTTAGATGAAAGGATTAGCGACAATGTTTGTAATTAAATTTTGAAATTGTTAACGCAACATAAGCCTAACTATTAATTCGAAAATATCTTTATTGAAATCATGTGGCAGCCCTATAGATTTAATATAGCAATCGCTACCGCGATTTGTGAGGCAGGTAGATTAATTTACAACTAAAAATCTAGAAATCTGTTTTGCGTTTGTCAACAACCAAATTTTGCTGAAGTGTAAAATCTCTCATAATGTCTACTGAAAAGGATAAAATCGACAAATCTAAGATAAATAATCAAGTAAAACATGTACCAAAAGACGCGCAAGTGATAATGTCAATATTGAAAGAGCTAAATGTCCAAGACTATGAGCCCCGCGTTATTAATCAATTATTGGAGTTCACATACCGTAAGTAAAAAAGGTAATTATTTAGAACAGCGGCTTTTGCTTAAACTGTCCAAAAATGATGGGGTTTTTGGCTAAATAGATGTATTTGATGATTATCTTTTCATTAAAAGTGGGGGAAAGCTGAATTTTGCAATAGTTTTATTGTTATTAACATTTAAAGTTACACTAAAATCACTAGCACATACATTACAAACAAATACATGGCTAAAGCGATGTTGCCATATCTTACTTAAAAAAGAGTAATGAATAAGACAAAGTATGGCGAAAGCGACATTGCCATACTGTGTTAGAAACTCAAAAAAGAGTAATAAATAAGGCGGAGCAAGTGTGGGTCCTGCATTGATAGTTTTTCGATTTATTGAAACGAATATAAGCGAAAATTCATAACATGAATAAAAAAAAATTCATATTGGCTTGCATGTAAAATAACATAAAAATTAAACAGTATTTTTCATAAAGACATTTCATTTAAAAATACTGTGCAAGGCGAAGCCGGTGTTGGTCCGGCCCAGGGTTACAATCCAAAGCGCGGCCGAAGGCCGCCAACTTACAAAGGAGTTTCACTTAAGAGTACTGTGCAAGGCGAAGCCGGTGTTTGTCCGGCCCAGGGTTACAATCCAAAGCGCGGCCGAAGGCCGCCAACTTACAAAAGAGTTTCACTTAAGAGTACTGTGCAAGGCGAAGCCGGTGTTGGTCCGGTTACAATTTAAATATGTAAATAATATGAATTTTGAAGATATGAAAATACCTTAATATTTGAATTTTTGAACAGTTTTCGTTTTTGTATGTAAATATGTAAATAATATGAACTTTCGTTTTTATTCATGTTAAGAATTTTTGTTTTTGTTCCTTTCAATAAATCGAAAAAAACAAACCATGCCGGACCCACACTTGCTCCGCCTTATTTATTGCTCTTTTTTGAATTTCATACACAGTATGGCAACATCGCTTTAGCCTTGTATTTGTTTGTAATGTATGTGCTAGTGATTTTAGTGTAACTTTAAATGTTAATAACAATAAAACTATTGCAAAATTTAGCTTTCCCCCACTTTTAATGAAAAGATAATCATCAAATACATCTATTTAGCCAAAAACCCCATCATTTTTGGACAGTTTTAGCAAAAGCCGCTGTTCTAAATAATTACCGTAAAAAATTCAAAGTGTTATTTTATTCAGTAATGTATGTGTATAATACTTAATTGCTTCAGGTTATGTGACTTGTATATTGGATGATGCAAAAGTCTTTGCAAATCATGCACGAAAGAAAACCATTGATTTGGACGATGTTAAACTTGCCACAGAAGTAGTATTGGATAAAGCATTTACCTGCCCACCACCACGTCATGTATGTACATATATACTTATGTGTAAACCTTTTGATTTTGCATTAATTTCAAGATTACTTTTCATTTTCAGATACTGGCTAAACTGGCTGAAGTACGAAATTCAATGCCTCTTCCACCAATCAAGCCTCATTGTGGACTACGTCTTCCTCCCGATCGTTATTGTTTATCCGCATGTAATTACAAGCTTCGCGCTGCAAGTCAACCGAAGAAGATGACCAAATCCGCATTGGAATCTCGCTCAACTATAAAAACACAAATGAAAAATTCTGGCGGTGCTGGTGCAACTAAACGTCAAACTGTGCTTACGCCAAAGACGCAAGTAGTTACTATACCTAAGCCAGTAATAAAGTTTACAACCACAACAAAAACGGTATCCAGCAGCGGTCCAACGGGTATTGGCGGCAGTATAATTGTAAATAGTGGTAGCGGCGATAGTGGAGACATTAAAATGGAAGTTGATCTGGATACAAGTGCATCTGCCGCGGTTGGCAGTATTGGTGGGGGTAATATAGGAGGGGATGGAAGTGGTGGTGGTGTTAAACGCGAACGGGAAGAGGATGAGTTTGAAGTTGTGCAGTAGCTTTAGAAAATGTTTACAGAAAATAAAAGAATATATTTGTGAAAAAATTAAAATTTTTTTATTATACAACGATAACATATACAGTCTACTGAACTTTATTTTAATGCTAAGATAATCGCACATCCCAAATCCATTATTTGTAGATATTCCGAGCCGCCGTCCTGTAAACGGAATGAGCACTCCTGCAATATGTATATATATAAATTGTATATCAAACGACTCCTTGATAGACTAAACATAAAAACTTACGCCTAGTTTATCGCAGATCAGAGCCTTCTGTTTGTTAGTTAACGATGGACAACGCAGTACATATTCATTAAATTGCTCTAACATTTGTCCAATACTATAAGCTTCATATCCAATTTGTCGGACAAAATCTTCCAATTTCGAATAATTGCCGGCACGGCACACCTCTAAAAAGTCTATTAAATAGTTTTCAGGTATAATACCAGACATTTCTAGTAAATCGGCTGTAGTAATAGTATTTGCGGCACCCTTTAGGCGATAACACGACTGTAGTGTGGTTATAGCTCGCCTCATATCGCCGCCGGAAATCTCTACAATCGATTTATAAGCACTCTCATCAATCTTTACACCTTCTAGTTCACATATATGACGTAAACGGGATATAATTTGCTCATCACCCAATGACTTAAAACGAAATTTCGTACAACGCGATGTGATGGGCTCAATAATACGTGACACATAATTGCAAACTAAACAGAAACGCGTACTGCGACTCTCCTTTTCCATGGTGCGACGTAAGGCTGCTTGTGCAGCATGTGTCATCGAATCAGCTTCATCGAGTATGATTATCTTGAAGGGTGGACATGGACGTCCATCTGGACGTGTACTGCTGGCTGTTAATTGAGCAAAATTCTTGATTTTTGTACGTACTACTGCAATACCACGTTCATCAGATGCATTAAGTTCGAGTATGCGTTCACGATAGAGATCACCGAATATTTGACGCGCCGCCGCAAGTATGGTACTTGTTTTACCTGTGCCGGGCGGTCCGTATAACAGCATATTGGGTAAATCTGCACCTTTTACACATTTTCGCAAGACTGCGACAACTTCCGATTGTTCGACTACATCATCAACACTCTTCGGACGACTAAATATTGGAGGTTAGCATTCAATTATTATTTTTTAATATAAAGGTAAATGCATAATAACTTACTATTTCTCAACCCATGGCGCTGGTGGCTTACGGCGTTCACTACTACCAGCTGCTGCGCTGCTGGTACTGGCTTGCGCTTTATCGTGCACAGTAGTTTTGCCTGTTTTAAGAAAAGCTTGCATTATGTTTAATAAATTTAATTAATGATATATCTCTTTTTTTTTTTTTGGGTATTTTATTATTTGCAAACCACTAACGCCGAACAATAACTGGCGCGCCAACTATAAACAGTTTTACTACTACAGAGGCTGCGAAACTATATTAATTGACAAGTACCGGGTGGTATGAACAGTTTGAGTGTAATCAAACGTTTGTGAGGTTAAAATGATTGAAAGGGAAAAGGAAATGTTTTTTCACAAAAATTAATCTTTAATTCATTTTTTTTTGTACATTTAGTTATTTTCGCGACATCACTTTGATACATTTTTTTATTTTATACATTAGTTTTTTTACGCTTTCTCAATCATCAAGTCATAGTTTCAGTTTTAATTCGAGCTCATTGAATATAAACTTCATTGGACTAAATTTCTATGACCATAACTCATTTGCATTGGTGTGTTTTGAACCTTTCCTTAGATGCATCTTGGTGAATATTATATATGTGAGTACAGATACATTTTTCTATCAGCCGTCTTGGATTACACCATAGGAAACTATTTTCCTTCATTATAAGCATGTATTTTCCCCACTTTTGGAACAGCCAGCATTATTTTAAAAAAGACAAATTAGTTAATGCATATAAAAAACTTTTATTTATAACAGCAAATTACGTACAATATGTACATACGTACATATAACTCGTACACTAAATTTTAATGAATGAGTTGGCGATATAAGCGAATATAGAGGAATGACATTAAATTTTAATAAACACGACACGTGTGTAAGAAGAAATAACATTTGATACAAGCAAAATTAAACAGTTACACAGATATGTATTTATGTTAAGAAAATATAAAAGATTTTTTTCTATATATGTATGTTTATATCAGACATGTAGCAGAGGTAAAGATGATTACAGTAGCGCAAATATGCAAACACAATAGCAACATTCAATTTGTGCATTTTCCATAGGTATATTTTAAGGCATATATGTATGTATGTATGTAAGAATTAATATGTATATGTATCATATGTACTATACAGACAAGCAATGACAGAATAATTTTAAGTATTTTTTTCTTTTTTTGTTAAATTATCTTAGAATATGGTTAAAAAAAAGTATAAATTATTTCCGCAAATATTTTTAACTTGGCATAATGGTCATTCAAACACAATGTGCATGTGCATCAATGTATAACATATAGTTTCATAAAATTAATATATGTATGTATTTTTGTAGAGTAACAAATTAGCTAAACGGGTAATCAATTATGAAATATATATGTTTGTGGTTGGCTATATGCGACACAATAAACTATTATTTATTTTTCAAACACTGTATTTATTGTCCATTTACAAAATAAACTGCATTCATGTGAAAATGTTTATTAACTAATATATATGTATGTATGTACATACATATGTACGTAGGTATTTATGCATTTTAAGCATATACATACATATATATACACACATTTAAACAATTTTTGTTATTAAATTAAATTGTCACTTTATTCAAGTTTTTTTTTCATTTCTTTTATGAGAAAGCATACAAAAACACAAACTTAAAACTACATAGATATGTATTACAAATTAAAATTAATTTCCAAAATTAAACTCGTATTCATTACAATTATTGGCAAAACAATAATTTATGCATATAATTATAGAGCTTCCGTGTGCGACAAAGGAGAAAAAATGATTTTTGTTTTTAAATTAGTAATATAATAATGCATACTATTACACAGCAATGAAGTTGGCACATATGTATATATATGTACATATGCAAATAGTTTGTTTTAATTTAATATTTTGTCGTTTTTATACTAAATAATAAAAATTAAATTTAAATAAAGCCACAAAATGAGGCAGAGATGAAATCAATTTCTTTGCGCAAAATTCTTATCGGATGCGCAAACACACATACATATGTATATTTTCTGTTGAACAAATCAAAGTTATTCTCAAATTTTTATTGTTTAGTTATTAGTATTATTGAATATCTCACATGCTTAACATAATCCATTTCATTGAATGATAATTAATGACAAATATAAAGCTATTAGAAGAAAAGTTTATATACTTATATTATATATATATATATCTAATATACTATATGTATGTATGTGTTTAATTATGAAAATATGCATTATAGTATCTATTAGTTTATTATGATGTTGTACAAGCACTTCAAACATATATATATATTTTTTTTTATTCTTTACATTGAGCAAACTACTATAGTTCAAGTATGTAAATACAAAGGTTTGTATGTATGCGTGTGTATACATTTTTTTTTATGCTTGTAAACTTTAAATTTGCGAACGCATACGTGGACGTGGTAAATCGCCAAACACAGCTTCGCCATGAACACTTTTGGCCAACGCTTTAATGCTTGCAGCAATATCAACGGTGTTGTCCAATTCCTATTTGAGAAAAGCCAAGAAAATTAAATAATGATAATTATTTAATAAAAATATAAAGAAATTATTTCATAATTATGCAATGCAATGTCCACTTACATTTTCATGTAGCGCATTCACATAGGAACGTCCAGTAGTCATTGGTGAGTTTGCTATTTCAATTGGCAGACTCTTGGCGAAGTTCATTACATCGGCTGCGATAGCAGCGGCACCAGGTCGCTGTTGTCCGGCAACAATTGGTCGTGAACCCATCGATATTGGCATTGTGCTGTCCAAATCAAGGGCAACTGAAAAATTTTGAACATGAATATATTTTTAATTAAAATTTTAATTTTTTTTTTTAGTCAAATTCAAAATATTGTACTGTGTATACCGCTTATACAAAAATATCGATGTACATACTCGTACATATTTGTACATACAATATATATTTGTTGGCGAATCTTTCATTTAGTAAACGATCTGATACTAAGCATACTGAGTGGCTCTGACTAGCTTATAGAAAAGCGGACCCTATAGTCAGCGCCGATTATGTTATTCTTGTAGTCACTTACTTCACCATACTTTGTAGCAGCGTAAGATGGTATCGTTAAACATACAACGGTATATCCAGAAAACGAACAGTTTCGAGGGGTTTGGATCAGAGAGACAGAGAGAGAGAGAGAGGGGTATTAGATGAGTTGGCTTTAGTAGGCATACAAAGGGGGTTGTCAATGAGGTGCGGACAGGACAGGCAGGATAAACGCTACGAATTAAGTCCATTACAGTATACACACCAGTTAATTGAACCATTATTTCTAGGGTCTCCGCAATTGTCTGAGCCGATTATTGCGTCTTGAGTATGGCATATAAGTTCCATAAACTACTGATTGGTTTTTGTTAGTTAGTTAGAGGATAGGATCAACTCATAACATCTCTTCGTCGAATCTGAAAGAGGGTTCTCTACCAACCAGTTAGTTTTTTTCTTTTTTATCAAGAATGTATAAGAAAGACCAACGAATAGGTCTGTTAGTCAACGAGAACGAGACGAATTGGGGCCACCGCGACACGTACATAATTTGGGAATACAAATATGTAATATTAACAACCTCGAAATCCAGCACAGAATCACTCTTGCCAATAAGTGTTGCCTTGGATTCGAAAGTCAATTGAAGAATAAGCAAAATGCTCTATGAATCGCTCTTAATTCCCATCCGACTGAATGAGGAAACGTCTGAAGTTCTATCATTGACGCGGCTTTGATCGCGTAAGGGGTTGTCCACGCCAATTAAGAAGATGCCTTTTGTATTTAATAAAATAACTATTTGACAACGGAAGGGTGTTGCGTTGGATTGAGAAATTTGAAAATTATACAAGGCCGCCTGCGAGTTAGGGGCTCAAGAATTTAAACATGGTAAGGCATGTTTGTCGTTAGAGGCGACTAAATTCATATAGTTCCCGCGACAATCGGGTCTTTTTACCGGAACGAACCGGATTTTAATCCAGCCAAGGACAAGGGGATTTTTTGCGATTACAACCGCAACAAAAAACAAACTAACATCATTTTTATTTACCTTCTGCCTCGCCAGCGTCATCCTCGCTTTCGTCCACATCACTCATATCCCTGCCGTGATAGTGATGCTGTTGGTGATAATGCGGATGTGCGTGGTTATTCAGCAATCTCTGCTGCTGATGATATGGCAGTTTTTGTGACAAGTTCGACACGAGCGCACTGTAGGGTGAGCTATTGTTGACAGGCGGAGCGCCACCACCATCAATACCCTCCAATTCGAAGAGGCAATCGTCAGCCACTTCGACTGTTGGTGTTGGGAATTGTTGTTGGAAGGAATTGGCTGCAATACGTACAAATTGTTGTTGTGTCAATGATGATTGTTGCTGTTGTTGCTGATGATGTTGCTGCTGTTGCTGTTGTGGTCGGAAGGTGGGACTATTGCCCACACTCATTGGTGTGGCTTCTGGAGTCGCCGGTGGCGTATCAAAATTGGAGACACGACGATTAACACTGTTGCTGCCGACAATTGTCGTCGCCAATACTGTGCTGCTCAATGTTGTTGCTGGTGTGTGGTGTGTTGTGGCACCAGCACTGATTCCCTGAGTATTTGTTGTATCCATGGCACTGGGTGTTGAGGGAGCCGTTGTGGCTAACGGCAGTGTAAGCATATGCACTCCGCTTGTGGGATTCGGTGTTGTTGGGGTAGTCGGTGTCGTTACAGACATAATGTCGCGACGACTACTAATGGTGTTGCGCCGACGTGACGCATAACTGCCACCAACACCGCCACCGCCACCAATAACCTCCAATGCGGGCGGCGCCCGATCTAAAAATTCGATTGCCTGCTGTTCCGGCACTCGTTGGATTAGACGGCCCAACAGTGCATACTCTTGTTCCGATTTTTCACGGAAACTCTTCAACAATGCAAACTGTTGCTCGGTGTAGCGCTGTATACGTTCGTCCGTTTCGGCTATTTCGCGTTTGAGACGCTGTTGCAAATTCTGTTGCAATTGCCGTAAACGTTGCTGTTTTATGTCTTGCTGCATTGATGGCACCGCAGTCGATAGTGAACCAACCGAAAAATTAGACAACGCACCGATATTCGACTGTTCCAATTGTAATTGTGGATGATCCATGATGAGCAGACCAAAAGTGTCGGAAAACGACTTGTCCGCACGTCTGAGTGACAATTCCTCGTTGTTTGTGAGCAGCGAGCAATTAATAAGGAATTGCGGTGGGTTAATGGTGAGTGCGGCTGGTGCCCCAGCCGGTGTCGGTGCGGGCAGACGCTTGGCACAAAGCGCCGTATTGCAATTAACGCAAATACTAAGTTGCCAGGCTTGTGTGAGCGGCTGCTCTTGTCCGGTTGGTACCTCCAATGTTATACTGTAGACTAAATCACGTTGATTTAGCGTGTGAATGTTGAGATCCGTTATGGGACCAATGGCCTAGAAAGAATAATAAAAAAAAAATCGAGATTATTTATTGAGCTTATTAATGTCCAAGCGAAAGATTACAAAAATTAGCAAAAATAAATTAAAAACAATAAGATTTTTGATATCATAAGTTGACTAAACTGGAACAATGAACTGGATGCCAACCCGCCACAAAACCGAACTCGTCCTTTTTACCAGGACCTGTTTTAAGCTTCTCTTACTAAATGACTCATGCCATCTTCCCATAGAAGTCAAATATCTCTGTTTAATCATTTAATTAATTAGCAAACTCAACTAGAGTCGATACACCGAGACAGAGCCGACAGACCGAGAAAGGCTATAACTGCACTCAACGCACGTAAAACCTTCATTTGCAAGTACTGAGGGTTCGAAACCTCATGAATATGCATATACAATGGTAGTCAAACCAATTCTTGTCGAGGATAGGACACGAAAAAACTACTTTTAACCAGTTTAGAGCTATCCTCATAATAGGGGCTCTATCATCGACTCACATAAACGCGGAAAACGCATTTAGATTGAATGTAAGTCAACCTTGACGCAAACTCAGTATAGAACACACCGAAATATTATCTAGTACTCCAGTTTGATTGTAGGCTCAATATATTCCACAAGAATCTCAGACTACTAATGGGAGATACACAAAATTTCAAAACCATATCTAGCTTTATATACGGCATACAATTCTTAATTAATATGAGCGTTATAAGATGTCACTATAATAAAAACAACAGAAATAAGGAACGGAAGGTATTGGGTTTAGATCCTGCCCAAACGAATCTCCAAAATCATAAAAATGTATTTTTCCAAATTGCGATCGCTCCTTGGTAGGTAATCCCTCACTCTCCGAGAGTATTATAAGTGTAAAATAAAAACTTCTCATAATAATCCGTCAGACGTTGGGAGGAGACTCAGAAAAACCTGTAGGTACATCAACATGCACAATACAAATGGGATGATTAGCTGGTACGAAAATCGCTTCAGCGGTTATAGAGCACGGAATATAATTAATAAAAACTCTGACCAAGCCTTGGAGTAAATGTAACGCAGCTGTAGGCTGGGTGTCCGGTCACAAGGATATACCAGCCAACTGTAGGATGGTGGCTAAATGAGATGACGTGCAATTTGACGATACAGACATTGTCAGCGTTGAAACCAAAAAGATCGAGGGTTTGATCCGTCTAGACCAGTTCCCCATTAGTATACTAACCAGCCATTTAATGGGGAAAATAATGGGTTACTAGTTTAATGGCAGCTGTAGCGGCGAAGAAGTTGAATAGTGCCCAGCCTTGGCCAACGTGCGCCACTTTTTTGACCGTCTCGCTGAGCTAGCTTTAACTAAAATTAGTCAGTTCGTCACTTTCATAAGGTGATAGGTACCTCATAATGGTATCACATCGGACAGAAACGCCGTTGCTCACTGTTGGTCTGTACGTTTGTGCTGTTTGTTTACCTTGACGGAGTTTATTATTTCCGCAATGGTTATCTAGCAGATCATAAAAATGGATTTGTTTATTAATATTCCAAAACATCACAGAGAAATGAATAAAGCTATTTCTAAACGATTGTTAAAATACCAATCAACAAGTTTATCTAGAAAAACAATAAATTTCACGGTACCAAATGCACAAACGTACATACATATGTATGTATATATGTATTTGTCTGCAAGCCAGTGCTTATTTGCTTTGTACAAAGCACATACACTGAGCTTTCAATTGCGCTTGAAGGTCTTAATAGTTATAAATATATTTTTTTTATTTGTTTAAAAGCAAAGTCGAAAAATTCTCGCCATGGAAGATATGAATTTTATTATAAAACAAGAAAAAAATTAAATTAAATTAAGTAAATAATAATATTAATAATATAAAGGGAAACAAATATCCGATGAAGAAATTGTTAAATTTCCACTTTTCCATATTTTTGCATATATAAGTATTTATGTTTGTGCAGAAAAAAAACACTAAGCAACAAAATAAATATTGCTTCTATGTATTTTGCTATCATTATTGTTGTTGTCTTTCTCAAATTATGCTGAAAGTGTAAATAAGTACACATTTTTGTACATATTACAGCATTAAATAGAAAATATGTTTGTACAATACATACATACATATGTACATATGTATGATAAAAAAAAATAGCACGCGTTCAATGCCTGATAGGCGGACCCGATATGTGGTTTGCGTACAATTTTCAAAAACACATGGACATACAATGTTGTCTTTATAAGAAATATAGTGTATTAAATTAACGGCAGAGTGAGCACAAGCGACCGGTGTCGGATTTGATTCATGGCAGCTAATTTACTCAAATGTCTCCTATTTTTTTGTTAAATTAAATCAGAAAATATGAATTTGTTGGTTAGGTGCATACTTAGGTAGAGCTGAGCCGCAATTCAATCAGCTATTGTTTACAAGAGCTTTTAAACTGTTCCAACAGTGACAGCAGTGACAGTTGGAAAGAATTAATATAAATCCGATATATAAAATTTTAGTGAGGAAAATTGTTATGTTTTCGTATTGTACCGCAAAAAAGTGGTAAAGTTTTTGTTTACTAAACCAAATAATATTTATGTATGTATCTCAAATGTGAGTGCGATTTGTGATTAGAGCATTACATTGCGATGAGCTAACACAGCCTATCTAATAATAGAAATAAAAAAAGAGTAAATTGCAATAAGCTGGAAACTGGTAAAACATGGTCATGATAATATTTTAAGTAGATTTCATCCACCTGAGAGGACGAACAACTGCATAAGCAACATTAACTTCACGAATGGTGGTTATTCCGGATAACAGCAAGTAATTGTATAAGATACCACCAGCATAGCTAGAAATGAATTTTTACGTGAACGGATCAAAAATAAATGGCAGAGTTTGTGCCGGTATCTTTCCCAAAAGAGTTTGGTAATAGCAAATCACTTGGTCTATCAGAAGACTTTAATATTTTTCTAGAGAGCAGTGAGACTACTCGTTCGCTAATGTTCCGTATCAATATAACTTATGTTATAATATAAATGATCGTGTATGTATGTATGTGTGTATGTATGTATGTATGCATGTGTGTATGTATGTATGTATGTATGTATGTATGTATGTATGTATGTATGCATGTGTGTATGTGTGTATGTATGTATGCATGCACGTATGTTTGTTTGTATGTATATTTGTATATATATATATATGCATTAGATAGTTAAAAACGATTTAAATTTTGGTCGAAAACATTTTAATTTGTTTTGATTGCATTTTACAAATACTTAATTAGGCATTTGTTTCTATTTTGATAGCTACACGCGCGCCTGAATTCGCAATTGTTTACTTTGAAAAAGGCAAAAAGCCAAAACAAGTTTCTTCTGTGTGCTGTTTTTGGACTGTAGATACATACATATGTATGTATGTACATATATACATTAGCATACAAAATAGCACTTGTTTCAAAATATATAAATTGGATTGATAGCTGGGCGAACTTGTGTCTCAAGAAGGTAGAATGTACGTACATACATATGTATGTACATGCATTGGTATAATAATGGCTAAATGGTTAAATTATTTTATAAAAAATATATATATGTATATACATGAAATAAGAAAAGAAATAAATGAAAACAATTTAAAATTCTTATCGAGATTAATATAATCTTTTATTAATGAAATATATGTATGTATGTATATATATGACAAAAGGTAAAAAGTTTAAAAAAAATAAATAAATAAACTTAAAAAAATAAAATTAGCAAATTTAAATGAAAAAAGTATTTTATTAATTTTATTTAATTTATTTTTAATTATTTTTGTTTATATTTTGCACCATATAAACTGCGTTGAAAAGAATAGAGAAAAAAAACAAGCGTCAAGGTGTAGACAATGATAGAGAAGATATACATATATTTGGTGCTATTTTAATGCGGCTACATGCACAAATAGTATTAAAAATGTGTAAGCACATATGCATATACATATGTATGTATGAGTGTGTGTGTGTGTGTTTATTTTAAAGCATAGAACCAGAAATTCTCCTACTGATCATGCGGCAAAAGAGTGTTTTGTGCGAATTTAGTGCGCTTTCAATTTGATCAACTACAACAACAACAAATATACAAAAAAAAAATTAATTGTAGTGTGATGTTCGCGGGTGGTTGAAACTATTCAGTGTTGTACATACATACATACGAGCACAGATATCAAACGCAAATGTACATCAACAACTATATGTATGCAATCATACATATTTACATACATACATACACACATACGTACATTCATAATATCTTTAGCATACTTGGCGCTTTTGTATACACCGTCTGAGTTTTTATTAAAGGCGGGCATTAAAAATACTTCTTGGGCTTATTGATAAAATTGTATTTTCAAAAGTATAAGCATACATATGTACATATCTCGTATTTTTTGTTTAATTTAAAAAAAAAAATAATAATAAAGGAAAAAAAACCAAATTAAACCGAATATTTTGCACTCGCTAATTTGTTGTATGTATAAAAGTGATAAAATAAATTCTAAAACAAAAACAACAACAACAAATCGCTTTAAATATTTATAACCTTGACGAAAATGGCAAAAAATATATATTTTTTTTCAGATATATTAGGTAATAAATATACCACGCTTTAAAATAAAAAACGTAATATTTATTTTGCTTGCCTTAGACTGAATAAAAAATGAATGCAATTAATAAATTTTTATGCGAGTAGGCATTTTACTGTATACAGAGTTACACAATTTGCGGTTTCGAAAATAAACGTAAATAAAATGCATTTAAAATAACTCTGCTCGTATTGCGTGAGGCCCCATCTTGTTGAAACCACATTTGGTCCAAGTCGTGTATTTCAATTGCAGGTCAAAAAAGATCGGTTATCATACGAACATAACGATTCACGTCTCCAGATCAAAGAGATCACCAGGTAGTAAGATTTTTTTTTTTGGTGTAATGTCCACTTTTCAATCATTTGAGGGTTCCCGGAGCCCCAA